GTGTGATGTTTAAAAGCAAAAATATTTGTCAATCTTCAGGTCTCCACTCCAAGTAGTTAAGAATTTTTTTTTTAAGTTTTCCAGGTGATTTAACCATTCAATAAGAATATATATATATATATATATTTTTTTTAGTTTTCGGCAGACACAACATCTCTGTTTGTATGTGGTGCTGAGGATCGAACCCGGGCCGCACGCATGCCAGGTGAGCGCGCTACCGCTTGAGCCACATCCCCAGCCCAAGAATATATTTTTAAAATATTTTTATTTGTTGATAGTCTGAGTTTGGCAGTTTTTTTATCTTTATTTTGTTTATTTATTTTTATGTGGTGCTGAGGATCGAACTCAGGGCCTCACATGTGTGAGGCTAGCGCTCTACCACTGAGCCCCAGCCCCAGCCCCAGCCAGTAGTTAAGAATTTTGAACTAATGTGTACCCTATTAATTTCCTTATGACTTTCAAATAATTATCATATTTTTTTCTAATCTTCCAGAAAAAAAATAATTCATTCAGACAGTTACTGAGATCTTGTTTTATGCTAGGCACAGATCTATGTGTTGGGTGAAAGGACACTAGCAAAGTTCAAGGACCACACCACACACCAGAATCCCAAGCAAGAGATTTATTGTCAGAAGCATGGAGCAAATTGACAAGGCTGTCCATCCGAGCATAGCAAGCAGCCTATCGGCACTCACAGAGCAGCTTTAAATTTCACAACCACGCTAAGGGGTTACATTATGGGCTGGAGTGGGGTCCACCCTTTAGCAGACACATGTTCTTATGGGAGGCTAAGCACAGGCCTCAGAATCTCTAGATAAAATGGCTCCTAGGGCTGGGTTTGTGGCTCAGTGGTGGAACACTTGACTAGAATGTGAGAGGCATTGGGTTCAATTCTCAGCACCATACATAAGTAAATAAATGAAATAAAGGCCTATCAGCAACTAAAAAAGTATTTTTTTAAAAAATGCTCCTAAACAGAAACTTAGAGGAGTCCCTAGAAAAAATGGCTCCTGCCTAAAATGGTGGACCTAATACCAATATTCATCTGATGCCAATATTGGGGACAAAGATAATACAAAATTTTCCCAAGAATTGCATTGTTTTAAACTGTCCCCCAATACTCCTTGCCTTCGTTGTTTTAGTAGTTTTTCTGTGGCCATTCTTCAGCTGCATTAAATTTTTATATTGGTGTAAATCAATGGTAGTGTGCCTAGCATGCCCAAGCCCCTGAGTTCAATCCCCAGCATCAAAACAAAATGAAACAAATTTCATGTTGTTTTTTGATATTATTATCTTTTAAAAATATTTTTTAGTTGTAGTTGGATGCCATTGAGAAACTGATGTGACTCCATTTTTGAAAAACCAGCCTGTACCTCAGAGCAGGGCCTGTCCAAAGTGTGTGTGGGGTGACCCTTGTCCTTGGAAAACCTATTTCTAGGTACATAAGTTACCCTGCTGGGTCATTTGTATGTACCAGATGTCCTTGACTCAGCAAATGCAAGTTCCTGAAAAGACCAAAAGAATGCCTGAGGCCTAATTTCAGACCATAGCAACAACCAGAGTGAGACAGGGATAATACGTGAAATATCAAGTGGCCCTCCCAGTAGTTCTGGTGATTGATAACATGATTAGGCAACCCTGCAAGTTTAGCATATACACTCTGGCAACCCCTCATGGTGGCCCAAACCAATCAGTTCAAATGTATGTACCACTTGAACTAACCAATCACCCTTACCCAACTTGTTCCCGCCACTGAATGTGCTAATCAATGTTAAGAGTTGTTGTTTGATTTTCCTACAGTGTGAAATGATTTGCTGTGTGATGTTGTGACGCATAGAGTATCCCTGAAAAACCTATAAATCCTTACTGAACTAAGGGTCAGAAACTGTTGTGAGTCCAGGCTTGAGCTTGCAATAAAGACTCTTCTGTGATTGCATCGGATTCGGCTTCTGGAGGTCTATTGGGGTCCCAGGAATCTGGCATTACATCATACCTTTTATTTTTATGTGGTGCTGAGGATCAAACCCAGGGTCTCCCACATGCTAGGCAAATGCTCTACCACTGAGCCACAACCTCAGCCCCATAATGATATTATTGAAAGGAAAGCAAGGAACCGGGAGACGGGCGAGCAAGAGATGAAACACAGAGACCAGGCAGAGATATACATAGTTTGTCACAGCTGACAAGTAAAAGCCATCTCTCCATAGATGTAGAGAGGCAACACAGGCTTGGGGTTTGAGACTTTTATGGGAGGGGGGGCTCAGGGATTAGAGCTGGATGGGCCCTAATGTGGGCCGTTAAGGGTGGTTTCGGTATGAGGGAATGGTGGACCTTTCTCTGAAAGATCCTTGGGTGGGAAAGCAAAACTTTTTCTTAAGATGGCAGCTGTCACTTAAAGATGGCCATCCAGATGCTAAGCAAGGGCCTTACAATTATTATTGTAACTACTTTATTGATGTATAATTCACATAGCATAGAATTCACTTATTTAGATTTCACAATCCAATTTTTACTATATTCACAGAGTTTGGCAACCATTCCCACAGCCAATTTTAGAACATTTTCCTCATCCAAAAAGGAATGTGAGCTAGCCAGTAGTGCATGCCTGTAATCTCAACTACTTGGGAGGCTAAAGCTGGAAGATTCAAAGTTCATGGCTGGTGAAGCCAGAATTAGACAGGCAGTCAGTATAGATAGGTAAATCTGGCATTACAGGGCAACTTAATAAGACTGTCTAAAAAACTTAAAAAAGGGTTGGGGTAAAAGTTGGGCATAGTGGTGTAATGCCAGATTCATGAGACCCCAATAGACCTCCAGGAGCCGTATCCGATCCAATCATACAAGAGTCTTTATTGCAACTGGAGCCTGGACTCACAACCGTCTGCAATACAGCGGTGCCAAGGAGTGAGTCCTGATTCTTAGTTCAGTGAGGATTTATAGTTTTTTTGGGGGGATACTCTATGCGTCACAACATCACACAGCAAATCATTTCACACCATAGGAAGTCAAACAACAACTCTTACATTGATTAGCACATTCGTTGGCAGGGACCAGTCAGGTAAGGGTGATTGGTTAGTTCAAATGGTGGATACATTTGAACTGATAGGTTTGGGCCAAGAGGGCTTGCAAGAGTGTATAATGCTAAACTTGCAAGGTCAAGGGTCATCCCCCCTCCTTTGGACAGGCCCTGCTCTGAGGTATAGGCTGTTTTTTCAAAAATGGAGTCACATCAGTTTCTCAGAACATCAATTTAAAACGGCACCTGGGATTTGAGAGCCCTTGGTTGTCCAAGTGTTTTCAATAAGTCTTGTTCTTAAAGGCTTAGCCTACTACTTGCAGTTTGGCTGCTAGAGGAGACCCTAGGTCATTATCATCCAGTGGGCACAGTGAACCCAGATTTAAAGACAGGTCGTTAGTGTAGTTGGGTAAATGCAGTCTAATATCCAGTACGATAAAGAATATGGAAACCATATTGAGACTGGAGTCCAAAAAGAAGATAGAGTCCTATGTGAGCCCAGGAAACCAGAACAACACCTGGGGAAATTGAAATGTTAATGTCTCCAAGGCTTAGGGCCCATCTTAAAGAACTGTCAATGAAGTAGCTCTCAGCAAACAGGGAGGTGCTAATCAAACCACCCCAGGCCATCCCTGCCCAGATTACTCCTCTGTGCCCAGTTGTTCCACCAATTTCCCACCTTTTGGCCTTCTCACCTGCATTCTATCACTGAAGGAAAACAAAGGACAGGAATGTGGGGGGACTAAAAGAAGACCTTACATATAAAAAAGGGAGGATCTCCTCTTTCCATGAATTCCTCCTTTCCGGTCCCCTTCTTCCTGGGGGGGGGGCGGTCTTTTCTGCTACCCTTTAATAAAGCCTTCCACTTTCCACTCTACACTTGCCTCCAGTGCTTCTCTCATATTATACTTGAGCATTTGGGAAGTAAGGATTGGTAAACAGCGGTAACAACAAGGCAGTGTTACCACCAGTTATCAGTGACAGTTCTGCTCCCTCAGGTGTTGAAATTTGAGAACAATAGAGAAGTACCCCAGGCAAGCACATAAATCAGGGTTTATTTAAAAAGGGGTAACAAACACGTCTCCTGGGAGGGAGAAGAGGGCCATAGCTGGTATCCCCAGAACCGAAGTGTTCTGCCCTTGGTATGTGTCTTAGGCTTCCTTTGTTCTCCTGCTCTCTTCCCCTTATCTTTTTCCTTCGGTGTACATAACTAGGCCCAGCAAATGCTCCGTGAGACGGCCAAAAGGTGTGAAACAAGTGGGAAGGACAGGGTGGAGCAGCCCAGGACACATTAATTAACAACTTTTATCACTCTCTGTAGGGAGGGGCCATTCCTGGGACTGGTTACCTTAGTAACAGGTAGGAGCAGGGGCAGGTTCTTGATAAGGGTGGAGGAAGAGCACAGAAGGAATTAACATTTCAATCCCTCAGAGTACAGTCTCCAACTTCCCCAACTCACTCAAAATTGGCCTCCTTGATCCGCCCAATTCCTGCCTCAGCAGGTCAGGCAGGAGGAGTGGGAGGAAGACCTGAGGCCTTGCTCTGAGGTTTTAACAAAAGCCTTCCAACCATAGGCGTTTTCATATTCACCACAGCCCTTTCAGCCCTCCGCGCCCCGTAAACTTGACCCACCCACTCCAGAAAGCCCACTCTGCAGAAGCAGGGCCCTCAGGTGACGCTAACTTCCATTTCAGTCTCCTAAGAAGGAGGGTATGGAAAGCCCCTTCCGCCACGCCCACACTCGCCCATCTGGGCTTAGGACGGAGCAGAGTCCTCCTGGGTCCGCCCGCCTGCGCTGGAGGCCCCACCCCTCCCTGACCCTTCATTGGCTCTGTTGACCGGCCCCCCTAGCTTTGGCTTTCTATTGGTCAACAAGGCCGCCGCTCAGCTTTCTTCCCGGGGCGTGCGGCGAGCGTGGCCACGCCCCTTACGTCCGGACGCTAGGTCGCCTCGGGAGGCGGCGTAATCACCGCCTAGGAGGAAGGAGGTCGGCTCTTCGAGGAGCTGCTATGGTGTTGAGTTCCCCGGGAGCGCCGACCGAGCCGAGGCGTTCGCTGCCATGAAGGTGAGCGGTTGGTGGAGCTGGGCAGGCCCTCCTCGCCCCTCCTGTACGAGAGGAGGGCCTCCTTACTTTCTGCTTTAGCGGGTACCCCACCGGCTCCTTGGAGACCTCTGCGGAGGGTGGTCGCCGGCCGGCGACTGGGGCCCTGGGTTGGAGCCTGGTCTCCCGGACCCTCGAGCTCGCATGAGCGAGCCTTAAGGAGCCGGGAGAGGCCGTGTGGGCCCAGCGCAGAGAAGGGCTTTCTTCGGGGGCAGGAGGCAGGACCAGTAGCGCTCGCTTCAGCCCTCCGTGGCTTTGCCCACTGCATGCCCTCTCCTTCCCCGAGTCCTTGAACTAACCCAAATGTCGGGAACCTCACGGGACCAAAAGGAAAAAGAGTGCCGGGAGTGAGGAGGCTGGGGCCAGGCTTACAGGCTAGAAATGCCTGGGGTAGGGGATCCCACCCTCAAGGAGTTCTTGGTAGGCTTAACGTTGGGACGGTGACCTGGAGCGCCAGCAAGGTAGATGTGGCTGCATTGCCACTAGGTACGCAGCAAGTAATTTGACAGCTTTTCTCCCAGGTGGGAGTGAGAGCGTGGGAGCATCACTGATGAGAAGTTTAAGAAAAGGGGGCAGAGGGGAAATTCTGGCCTACTTTTCAGAGATGATTCTCTCAACTTGGTCGCTGAGAGTTCTAAAGGGCTTCTCCATATAGCGATCAGTTCAGGTGTTGATTTATTTAACGAACTCAGATGAAGTGGGATGAGTCATAAGGTGGTGATACGCTTCCAGACATGGACGGTTTCATTAATCTCAATGAACTGTGCTTGATGTGGGTAAAGAAAATAACAGTGAGCTGTTTGTTAGGTTAACTACCTTCATAAAGCCTCGAAGTTTTACTGTGGAAGATTGAAAAGGGATAGGGACAAGTGGGTAGGGACATTCAGTAAATATTTTGTTGAACACTCTCTGTTTTGGCCAAGAGGAAGATATGGTGAATAGGAATATTTCAAAATACAGTCTCATCCTTAGTAAAGAAGGATTTTGCCAATCGAAAGGGAAAAGACATTCGCTTGGCAGCTAATTACATTTCAAGGCAGAATGATCTAAGTTATCCCCCCCACCAAAACAAAACAAAACAAAACTCAGAGGCAGGAAAAGATACCTCTGACTGCAGGAAACAAGATTTTTGGAATAGGTAACTTTTGAACTGTGCCTTGAGGTATGAAGATATTATAAGAGTATTTATAATTCCCATTTTAGTTATAAAATATTTCAACTTCAGATACCTATTAAAATATCTAGATATATTTTATTTCCTGAAAATCATTATCTTACTGTTAAGATTTAAAATCAAAGCAGGGAAAAAAAGACAATAATAAATCAGGGGTCTCATACATATACCTCAAAAATATCATTGACTTGTTAATGTAAAGTTTTTATTTTTAATATTTTTTTAGTTGTTGATGTTTATTTTATTTGATATGTGGTGCTGAGAATCCAACCCAGTTTCTCACACATACTAGGCAAGTGCTCTACCAGTGAGCTACAACACCAGCCGACCTAATGTTAAGTTTGTGCCCTCTCAAGGAACTAGATAGATATGGAAGGAGAATTAGGAATAGGCCCAGTGTTGAAATTTTTAAGTATGTTCTTTAAAAACAAGTGTTTTTGAACTTAAGTGGAAGATACTGCTAGGTGGAAATTTTTAGAATCAGTTAAATGGCATTTGGAAACGCAGAAAAGATATTTTCTGAAGCACATTGCAAACTTGGGTAGTTATATATCTATGCAAGATGATAGGAATCTAGCTTTCATTTTTGGTTTTGTGAAACTGGATTTACAAAATTTAGGATTGGACTTTTTTTTTTTTTAATTATTGAAACTGTGTAATTGTGGATATTATTATCTGTAGATTTCTGGGAAAGACCAGTGACTCCTGATGTCATGAAATGGTAACATGAATATTCATGTAAGCAAATACTTTGTATTTATTTATTTTTTTAGTTGTAGTTGGACACAATATCTTTATTTAGTTAATTTATTTATTTATATGTGGTGCTGAGGATTGAACCACAGCCTGGCATGTGCTAGGCGAGCGCTCTACCGCTGAGCCACAACCCCAGCCCCCCCCACATGTAAGCACATAATTTGAGTTAGGATTAAAGTTACTTCAAAAGCTAAGTGACTAGATAAATACATCTTCATTCAATCCCAGGAATATGTGGAATGCATGTATTCTTTTATTTTTTTGATTTGTTTAGAAACTGATGTTTTGGCATCAGTTTACTTCTTACATGTAAGTAACTGTTTAACTCTAGAATTCATCTGCTTACCTCCCCACAATGGATTGTTTTAAAAATCTAAATTGGTGTCATATGTTAATTTGATTTTGCTTCTCCTTTCTGTGTTTCCAAGTTTATATGATCTCATCCTTAATTGTGCTAATCACATTCATTATTCCTAGCTCAAAATGAGATGTCAAGGATAAAGTAATCTACTAACTGTAATTTCCTGTTTTTTTTTTTTTTTTTTTCTCTGAAAGGAGGGGGAGTGGTGCTAAGGGTCAAGTGTACTGTTTTAAAAGACAAAAACCCAACATGAGGAAGGCAACATTTATGGTTTATACATGCTTTACCATTAAAAAAAATCTATCAACTTGACCAATATCTTGCCTACAAATATTACATTTTAAAGGCCAATATCTGTTTTAGGATATAGCATTTTTTTTTTGTGGTATAGGGTTGGATATTTTATTGTTAAAAAGGTGGAGTTCCTATGTGTTGTATTTCATTTGAAGCAGCAATTTGAGTAAGAAGTCCTTTTACATTCTAAGGACTATGTTTCTCAAGTGGCTCTAAATAGGGTAAAGATTTTGTTTATCTCAACTACTTTTTTTCTGTTTCTTTTTAACTTCTCTAGGTAGGTTTAACTGTCCTGAAATTTAAACTATAAAATGTGTTCTTTTATATCACTGGTTCAAAGATTTGAAACATCTTTTTCTTATTTTTTAACACAAGTGCATTCACTGAACTTTAGAAAATTAAAAGTTGTCCAGAATTTAAAACAGAACCCATAGTTAGTGAGTTCTTAATAATAGCTGAGAAAATTAATATTCCTGAATATGAAACTTTTATGTTCATTTTTAAGATAACTGTAAAAATATTACTGCATTTAGATTTAGAATTTTCGTAAGCAAAGTAGTACACTCTTAAGAGATGGCATTATTACTGTTGTTTACTTAATCAAAAACAAATGACTTAGATTATTTTGTTTTTATACCTAACTTTCCCTGCCCTCTGTGCATGTGTCCTCCCTCCAGTGTCAGTCTTCATGGAACCTACCATCTTTTTTCTAATTCTTTATTCTAAATAGTCTGGGTGGTTAGTATTACATTTGATGGAATCATTAAAAGGGCTCCTATGCTAATGCAATTGAGAATAGGATCCAAAATTTGTAGTAAACTTCAGTTAATTCTTTAGATTATTTTGAAATATTTTTACATGGATTCTAAAAGGACATTAGATCATGCACACAATCAAAAACTGCAGAACCTGAGGCCATTTGAAAACTGGCACTCTGCCACAAAGAGGGCTGGGCTATTGCTCTTATAAACAAACAGAACACATTTCCTCTTGGTTTAGTTGACTGAAATAATGATTCAGAATGAGTTTGTATTGTTTAAGTCTAATGAACCTGAGAGAGTACTTATAACATTGGTGGTCTATTGTTGTGGAAACCACAGTGCTGGCAACTGTCACCTTCATCCAAATTATATGGGCTTGTAGGTAGTACCTTCCTTTTGTTCCTGCAGAGGGGTAGGACAGTTTGTGAACACTTTTAGCCTTCCTGCTACCTGGAGAATATAGAGGAACTTTGATGTTGGTGAATTTGAGTGAAGGACTAAGTATGCTTGGCTCAGTACATTCAGGATGAGCTCACATCTGCCCTCTGAGAGAAGATGACATTTTGGTTTCCATCAGCTAGCTAGGTGTTAAGCTGCCCTTGATTAATTATGCCAGTGGCTAAAAGGCATATTAAGACCAGTTAGTTGGCTGCACAGCTGAAGTCATGTTTTCCAATTGGTGTTTTCAGTACAAAAGCAAACATTTTAATTTCCATTTGTTTCTTTGTTCACATTGGGAGTTATGGATATGAGCTGCTTTAAAATCTTGGTGCCTGGGCTTTGGGAAAAAAAAAAAAAAGGCCAGAAATGTCATTGGATGCTAGAATAACATAAAGAAAACTAATTGTTAGGGGCACTTCAGGTGGGTTTTAGAATTTCTTACTACAAACTATGTAAGTTTTTAAATGATGTCTGGTTCTTAACTGATGCACAAGACAGGAAACCATGGTCTCATGACTGATCTATCAGGACCAATTTTGGTCAAATGGTTTAGATAGGAAATAAGCTGCAAACACAGCTAAATTCCCTGAGGTTGGGATTTTGTGCCAGGCATAAAATATTATGTTTCAAACTACATTCATAGTCAAGGGAGGGAATTTAGCATCTCTGTAGATTGCTGTTCTAACATCTTGGACCCGTGATGTAGCCTATATAGCCCTGCTGTCAACCATGGCCCTGAGTAGGGCATGTGAGTCCCAATCAAGACTTAATTTCTAGTGATCCTGATTTTGTTTTTTTTTTAATACTCTTTTAAAATTATTATTATTTTTATTTGTTCTAATTAGTTATATAGGACAGTACAATGCATTTGACACATTGTACACAAATGGAGCATGACTTCCATGTCTGTGCATGGTGCTGTCACACACAGTATTTATGGGTTGGTGTAGATAGGGTAATAATGTCTGTCTCATTCTACTGTCCTTCCCATCCTTACTGCCCCACCCCTCACCTCACTCCCCCCTGCCAAATCCAAAATTCCTTCATTCTCCCCCAACCCCCTGCCCAACCCCGACTTTGGCTTCACAAATAGAATAGTAATTTTTTTTTTTTTTTTGTAGTGAGAATTGAACTCAGAGTGCTCTACCACTGAGCCACAACCCTTACCCTTTGGTTCATTTGTTGGTACCAGGGATTGAACCCAGAGGCACTTAACCACTGAGCCCCCATCATCAGCCCTTTTTTTTTTTTAATATTTATTTTTCAGTTTTCGGCGGACACAACATCTTTGTTTGTATGTGGTGCTGAGGATCGAACCCGGGCCGCGCGCATGCCAGGCGAGTGCGCTACGGCTTGAGCCACATCCCCAGCCCCTTATCATCAGCCCTTTTAAAAAATATATTTTATTTTGAGACAGGGTCTTGCTAAGTTATTTAGGGTCTCGCTATATTGAATTTGCCATCCTCCTGCTTCAGCCTCCCAAGTTACTGGGATTATAGACATGTGCCTGCGCCCGGCTCATTTTGTTTTATTTTGAAACAGGAACTCAGTTCCTGAGGCTGTCCTTGAACTTGCAATCTTCTTGTCTTAGCCTCCAGAGTTGCTGTGATTACAAGTGTGCATCACTGTGCCTGGCAAAATGAAACATTTAAAGGGGAGCCAGGTAGATGAGTTCAAGCCTGGGAATATTTTTCTTTTGGGTGGATTCTTAACTACTTAACGATGAAGGACAAAAAATAGTTTAAACAGTAGGATTGTGCTCAGGGCTGCTTTACTACCAAGCTATATTTTTTGCCCTTTTTTATTTTTACCACAGGGTCTTGTTGAGTTGCCCAGGATGTGATCCTTCTGCCTTAGCTTCCTGAGTAGCTGGAATTGTAGGAAAGCATCACCATGCCTGCCAATGGCTGCTTTTGACACACCCTGAAAGTCACACTTTCTCTCTATAGTGCAGATTTCATATGCCAAAACATGCATGAGTGTTAGGAAACAAAAGCTTGGGTAAAGAGTGAGTTAAATGAAGAAAATCACCAATTTTCAGCAAAAGTAAGAGGGGAAAGGAACTAACTTAATCAGATTAAGTTAAAAAAGCTGAGCATTTCTGCATGGACTGGGGGAAACTGTGGACTGCAGGCATGGCTGAGGTATTTGTCTCAGAAAGGTAGAGGCACAGGCTTCAGAAGTACCTGTGGCCCCTTTGTTCAGTAGTCTGTGGATGGTGATTTTCCAGTGGAAATAGTATAAGCAGGAAGGAGAAATCTTTAGACTGAATATCCTTGACTTTAAATTTTTTTTTTTTTTAGTTGTAGATGGATATAATACCTTTATTTTTATGTGGTGCTGAGGATCAAACCCTGTGTTTCACACATGTGAGGCAAGCGCTCTACCACCGTGCCCCAGTCCCAGCTTTTGACCTTTTAACTTTGGCTGTATATCAAAATCACCTGCTTAGGTTTTTTTTTTTTTGGCCCAGGATGAACCTCAGACCAGCAAAATCAGTCTCTAGGACTGAGACCTAGGCATCAGGATTTTTAAAAGGATCCATTGATGAGTCCATGCAGCCAAGATGGAAAACCTCTCCCTGTCTTAGGGCAGTTTCATAGCCTTAGGCAGTTCTTACCAAGAGGCAGTGACCAGTCCCTGAGGTACAGGACTAAAACTACTCCAGAGTTGGGGAGGTCAAATCACTAATGAAATTACTTCCATTACCACACCAGGATGCCAGGAAAATGGGCTTTAATAGGGAAGTGGAAATAAGTTTTTCAAACACACTTAACGGTAAAGAAAGGTATTTCACATAAAACTGGTGATTGGGGCCTCCGTTTCAAATTTCTGAACTATCAAGAAGGTTGGAGTGTTGCAAATGCTACTTTGAAGATGAGAGCCGTGCATACATGGATACCTTTCAGTATTCTAAGAGTATGCTCTTTTTTTTTTTTCAATTTTTAATTTTTTTTTTTAATTTTTTTTATTGTTGGTTGTTCAAAACATTACATAGTTCTTGATACATCATCTTTCACACTTTGCTTCAAGTGGGTTATGAACTCCCATTTTTAGCCCATATACAGATTGCAGAATCACATCAATTACACATCCATTGATTTACATATTGCCATACTAGTGACTGTCGTGTTCTGCTACCTTTCCTATCCTCTACTATCCCCCCTCCCCTCTTCTCTCTCTACCCCCTCTACTGACCTTCATTTCTCCCCCTTGTATTATTTGTCCCTTTCCCCTCATTTCCTCTTGTATGTTCTTTTGTATAACCCTGAGGGTCTCCTTCCATTTCCATGCAATTTCCCTTTTCTCTCCCTTTCCCTCCCACCTCTCATCTCTGTTTAATGTTAATCATCTTCTCATGCTCTTCGTCCCTACTCTGTTCTTAGTTACTCTCCTTATATCAAAGAAGACATTTGGCATTTGTTTTTTAGGGATTGGCTAGCTTCACTTAGCATAATCTGCTCTAGTGCCATCCATTTCCCTGCAAATTCTATGATTTTGTCATTTTTTAATGCAGAGTAATACTCCATTGTGTATAAATGCCACATTTTTTTTAATCCATTCGTCTATTGAAGGGCATCTGGGTTGGTTCCACAGTCTTGCTATTGTGAATTGAGCTGCTATGAACATCGATGTAGCAGTGTCCCTGTAGCATGCTCTCAATTTTTAATTTTTTTTAAGAGAGAATTTTTAATATTTATTTTTTAGTTTTCGGCAGACACAACATCTTTGTTTGTATGTGGTGCTGAGGATCGAACCTGGGCCGCATGCATGCCAGGCGAGCGCGCTACCGCTTGAGCCACATCTCCAGCCCTAAGAGTATGCTCTTAATGTATGACTTATTATTGGTCTATTTTGTCCAAATTTAAATTCACAGATCCTAATGAGGCTGCAACCTATATTTTCCAGTGTTGTTTTTTCTCCTTCTCCCCGACCCCCTTTTGTACCAGGGATTGAACTTGGGGGGCACTCAACCACTGAGCCGCATCCCCAGCCCTATTTTGTATTTTATTTAGAGAGCGTCTCACTGAATTCCTCAGCACCTTGCTTTTACTGAGGCTGGCTTTAAACTAGCAATCCTCCTGCCTCAGCCTTCCAAGCTGCTGGGATTCCACACTGTGCCCAGCTTCTTCTTTTATTCTGTGATGTCTTTGGCTAACAGCAGTAAAGTACATCTACACTGCACTGAGTATTGGGTTAGAGCAACATACTCCTGCCTGGGATATTTTGGAGGTTGTCTTGGGCTTTTTTGTTTTTAAATCTGGAGATGGCTGAGGGGAGATAAGTATTCTTTTTTGTTATTTTCTTTTTGGGGATGTAGAGGAAATTCCCATATTCTTGTAGAAATATGAGGAATGGGACAACATTGTTACCTTCTAATACTGACCTCTACACAGAGATTCCACCTGTTTTCCCCAAATAAATTCTCTGTTCCCTTCACTAGATCTGTGTAGATAAAAAAAACGTTTTTAGCCTGAAGAATTTTTTTTTTTGAGACAGAGAGAGAGAATTTTAATATATATATATATTTTTTTTTAGTTTTTTGGTGGACACAACATCTTTGTTTTTGTATGTGGTGCTGAGGATCGAACCTGGGCCGCATGCATGCCAGGCAAGCGTGCTACAGCTTGAGCCGCACCCCCAGCCCTAGCCTGAAGAATTTTGATGATCATTCTCATTAACATAGTTTGAACATTATATCCTTCCTTAACTTGTAAGATTGTCTCTGGTAGAAAGGGTGAAGTATGACTTTTTAGAAGTACTGCCTTTAAAAGGGAGTTTCATTGAGGTTTTCACCTGTTAAATCATGATCTCTTTTACCTTAATTGTTCTTTACAAGAAAACAATTTGAACCACTTAATAGTGTGCAAAATTTAAATAATGTTACATTGCCTGTAAAGAGGGAATACAAAGAAACCTTTTGCACAGGTGTCAGCCATATGGAACTAGAGTCCTTGGGAGAAAGAAGGTTGTGGTCAAGGAAACATCATAGGGGAATGAGAAGGGGGATAAAAGCAATAGGCCTCCTAGCTCATCAGTAGCTATATTAGCAGGAGGCTAAAGCTTCCTGAAGACTTTGCTTCTTTTGACTTCTATAATGAAGTGAAATTTGCCCAGTGGCAGTTCTGCAGGTGTATTCCCTCCTTTCTCCCAAAATTATGTGCAGTTTGAATTTTTTAAAAACAATATGTTTTCAATAGTTTTAACAGGGCTTACTTTTTTCTTTTATTATTTTTTAAAATATTTTTTAAAATAAAGGTATTGGACACAATACCTTTATTTTTATGTGGTGTTGAGGATCAAACACAGACAGAGCTTCACACATGCTAGGCAAGCACTCTACCTCTCAGCCATGACTGTAGCTCCCTATTTTCTTTTTATTTAACAAGATCTGAGTGTTTTCAATGCCAAATATTCTTTGGTAATACCAGAAGATTATCTTTCCAAATAGCTTGAAATTTTGGTGCCTAGAGGAATGCAGGTTGAGCTTCTCTTATCCAAAATGCTTGGGATTGAAAGTCTTTCAGATTTTGGTGTTGTCTCTGGAGGCTTCACCTGTTAAGTGTCTCCTATTCAAAAATCCTATGAGCATCTCTTATTAGAAAATTCAAAATCTGAAACTTCTTGAGCATCACGTTGGTGATTTCAAAATTTCAGATTAGAGATGCTCATCTCTAGATGTGAGAACTGTGTTAGTTACCCCCACCAGAGTGGCATTCCCTGGGGATCCCAGACAGCCCAGGTTCCACTTAGCTTTAAACTGTGGCACTTGTGTTCCTTTTCAGGCGGGTGCCACATCTATGTGGGCTTCGTGCTGTGGGCTGCTGAATGAAGTCATGGGAACCGGAGCTGTCAGGGGCCAGCAGTCAGGATTTGCAGGAGGCACTGGTCCTTTCAGATTTACACCAAACTCTGATTTTTCCACCTACCCACCAGCAACTCCGGAAGGGCCTAATATAGTTTGCAAAGCCTGTGGACTTTCATTTTCAGTCTTTAGAAAGAAGGTGAGTTGGATGACTTGTTACATACAAGACATATGGGATAAGAATTATTAATCATAGTTTATTTTGAATAGGTAATGAATTTTTTTTCTTATAAAAATATGAAAACTTGGTCCCATTGATTTTTTTTTTTTTTTTTTTTTTTTTCCCCCATTTAGAGAGGTATGCAGTCAGGGATTATATTTCTGTCGAGTGTTCTACATAGACATTGTTATGTGTCACATTGTCAGGCATCCTTTTGTCTGAACTCTGACCTGTTTGTACCATTTCATTCTTCCTGATGACACTTATTTTTTTGAAGCAAGAGATTTAATTAATCTGCAGTTTCATTCAGAGATGATTTACTATAATTCCGATCTCAAGTTTCAAAAAATTTGTCTCTAACCATGCTCTTAACTCACACGAAGAAATGAGTGTAATAAGCTAAGTGCTGTTTAGAGGCTAAACATAAAATGGGCTTAAATTCAGCTCTTTTCACTTTTCTTTGATCTTCATTTCAATCTTTTGAATATGCAGACAAAAAACTGTTAGCTTATGAGAACAGTGCACCAGGCAGAAGTGGCTACAGCTGAGTCTGTGAAGTTCTCTAGGGCATTGGTGTGGGTTGTGATTAAGGCCACGTAGGTGACAGGTTCCTGGATTAGTGGGTCCTCTCTTGAATTGACTTGGAAAGATTGGTTGCCTTTCTCTTCATTCTCTGTGGGATTCTTTTTTCCTCATCTTGAAGTGAGGAAGTCCTTCACATGGGAGACCAGGCAGAGTGTGTGGCTGTGCATTCCATGTGGTTCAAGTCAGCTGTGTTCTGCTAATTACATGTTTGCACCAAGGGGCGGGAAGGTTTTAATTCATTAACACAAGAGTGTCTGTTTTCCTTAAAGTGCAGTATTTGAACTTCACTGAATCCAGACTGCCTTGGCATCGACCGTGTTGATTTTTGTGGCTTTTGGAACATTAAAATTCCTGTGAAAATGGTGCCACAGGGGATTTCATAAGAACTAAAATTTAAATTTTAATAAAGGCAAGAATAAGGCGTGGTTTTCATAATAGCTTGTATCTTGCTATCATTAAATGCTTCCCTTCTGTCTCTTCAGCATGTGTGTTGTGACTGCAAGAAGGATTTTTGCTCCGTTTGTTCAGTCCCGCAAGAAAATCACCGTAGATGTTCTACTTGTCACTTATTACAAGAGACGGCCTTCCAGCGCCCTCAGTTGATGCGACTAAAAGTGAAGGATCTTCGGCAGTATCTCATTCTTAGAAACATACCAATAGATACTTGTCGAGAGAAGGAAGACTTGGTAGATCTAGTACTGTGCCACCATGGACTAGGCTCTGAGGATGACCTGGACACAAGCAGTCTGAATTCTTCACAGTCCCAGACTTCTAGCTTTTTTACACAGTCATTTTTTTCAAACTACACCACCCCCTCTGCTACCGTGTCTTCCTTTCAGGGGGAGCTTATGGATGGAGACGGCACCTCCAGATCTGGAGCACTGGCACAGGTACGAGAGGGTGATAGATTGCTGGGGTCCCTGCATGCTTACTCTTGGCCATATTTGGTGGCCTTTAGTGCCTGATGACTTCAGATAAACCGGAAGTTAGGATTTGGAGCGGTGTTTCCGCACCCAGCTGAATTGGCACTTGCAGCCTCTCCCGCTGCATGTGGTCTTTTGTGTAGATACAGGGTGGCCCCAGGGTCCACTGCCTGGAGAGTCCAAAAATAGCTCGTGGATTTCTTGACCTTACTTCAGCACTAAATAGTACTGACAGAAGCTGGGCATGGCGGCATACCTAGGTCATTCCAGCTACACTGGAGGCCAAGGCAGGAGGATTGCAAATTTAGACCAACCTGGGCACCTTATCTCAAAATATAAAATAAAAAAGGGCTGGGGGTGTAGCTAAGTGGTAGAATGCCCAGTGTTCAATCCCCAATGCCAGACACACACACACAAGTGATGACTGAAAAAGCAGCATGTACATATTTGCATGACTATTTGTATAAGTGTCAGTAACCATAGAAATAATCAGTACAGTAAATTAATCTGATGCCCCCTCTCTTGACATTAGTGAAATTGTTCCTAGTTTAGATACTGAAAGAGCCATCTAAGTAGAAAAATGTAGTTATTTGCTAATTTTAATTTGAATATTATCCCAATGAGATTCTTGAACATCCTGGTTGAATAACATGTAAAGACTTGTAGTGGATATTCCCTGGTGTGTGAGTGATTATAAAATGTTGAATTAAGCCCGGCATAGTAACATTCACCTATAATTCTGCTACTTGGGAGACTGAGGCAGGATGATTGGGAGGTTGAGGCTAGAGGCTAGCCTGGGCAACTTATGAAGACATTTTTCAAAAATCTCCGAAAATAAAATGATTTTTTTCCACATTTAATTTTCATCCCTGAAGAAAGGGGATTTTGTTTTGTTTTTTTGGGGGGTGAGGGGTACTGGTGATTGTACTCGGGTACTTGATCACTGAGACGTATCCCCAGACCTATTTTTTTTTTTTTAACCTTTTTTTTTGTTGTTGTTTTTGTGCTGAGGATTGAACCCAGGACCTGTACATGTGAGTGCATGTGAGTCAAGCACTCTACCAACTGAGCTATATCCCCTGTTGTAGATGGACACAATATCTGTTTTATTTATTTATTTTATGTGGTGCTGAGTATCGAACCCAGGACCTCATGCATGCGAGGCAAGTGCGCTACCACTGAGCCACATCCCCAGTGACAGGGTCTCACTGAGTTGCTTAGCACTTTGCTTTTGCTGAGTCTGGCTTTGAATTTGTGATCTTCCTGCCTCAGCTTCCTGAGCTGCTGGGATTACAGGTGTGTGACACCACACCCAGCAAGAAAGGGGTTATTAAAAGTAGATTTTTTCATCTGTATTTTACTCAAAAATAAGTCCAAGCTGAGAGATTTTATTATTTTCTCAAATAAGAACTGGCATAATAAGACTTTTGTATCCTTTTTGGGAATAAGATGCCATTTGGGAGATGTGGGTGGTTGGATGCTACAGTATAGTACCTATGAGTCAGTCAATTGGGAATTGACCTAGACTATTGTAGAACTGTGGTCGAAATATATTGAGAGAAAAGATGTGCAATGTGCAGTGGCTTGTGCCTGTAATCCCAGTAGCCTGGAGGACTGATGCAGGAGGAAGACAATGGCAAGATCCAGGTCAGCCTCAGTAACTTAGTGAGACACCCTGTCTTTAAAAAAAAAAAGGCCTGAAGGTATAGCTTAGTGGTCCAACCTCAGTGTTCAAGAATAGGGCTGGGGCTCAGTGGCAGAGCGCTTGCCTAGCACATGTGAGGCACTGGGTACAATCCTTGGCACCACATAAAAGTAAGTAATTAAAGGTATTGTATCCATCTACTCTAAACAAACAAAAAACAAAAAAGTTTTGAAAGGCATATGATCAAAATTAAAGGGATTTCTGTTTTCCTTAAAGCAGACTGATTGTTGAGGATTTTTAAAAACTAGAACCAGCACAAACACTCTGAAGCATATTAGAAAGCCTTCTTTGGAATTAGAAGTGTGACTTAGTAGGATTGAGACCTTTCAAATTGGATGCTTATGACATTGGGGCGGATCCTGGTCAAATTAGCTTTCTTTGTTCAGTTAAACTAGCCTTTTGCATCTTGTAGTGCTACCCCTTATCCTTGGTGGCTTTGGCATTCCATGATGGGATGTTTCTCAGGGAATTAGTCCTTTGGTTTTATTACAAATTCTCCCCCTCCCCCCCCCCCCACAAATTTGTTTCCACATAACTTGATGGAATATAAATTCTTTTTCTTCTTAATATTTTTTAGTTGTACTTGGACACAATACCTTTATTTTATTATTTTTATGTGGTGCTGAGGATCGAACCCAGTGTCTTACACATGCTAGGCAAGCTCTCTACCACTGAGCCCCAGCCCCAACCTGGAAGGTAAATTCTTTAGTCATGTGGGGCCCAACTCTGTGGGAGGGGCAGCAGCATTGAGGATCCAGAGAAGATGTGGAGTGTGCAAGGTATTTGGGTCATCCTTTTTTTTCCCCCACTCAGTACTGAGGATGGAATCCAGGGGTACTGTATTGTTTTTATTTTGAGATAGGGTCTAAGTTGCGTTGGGCCTCCTTGCTAGATTATGGAGGCTGGCCTGGAACTTGTGATCCTCCTGCCTCAGGCCCCTGAAACACTGGCATTACAGGAGTGCCCCCATCAGGCCCAGGCCCAGGCCCATTTTGAATCATTCTTGAGGATGATCAGTGGAAAGCTTTTCTCTAGTGATAAATATGGGTTGATAATGTTAGGAAAACATGATTCCTGACCTAATCAGATGCATCATGTGTATAGGTACAAAGTGAAATAGCTTCAGCAAACACAGAAGACGATGATGATGATGATGATGACGATGACGAAGATGATGAGGAAGAAGAAGAAGAAAATAATTTGCAGGATCGGGTGAGACCACTTATAAAATTTTTCCCTGGGGGCTATGGTGGTAGCTCAGTGGTAAAGCACTTGCTTTACATGTGTGAGGCCCTGGGTTCAACACTCAGCACCACATTAAAAACGATAAGTAAGTACAATTAAAGATATTGTGTCCATCTACAATAACAAAAAAATTTTCCCCAAGGGCTGGGGACATAGTTATAGTACATTGCTTGCCTAGCATGCCTGAGGCCCTAGGTTTGATATCCAGCACAACCCCCCCCCCCAAAAAAAAAAAATTGCTTTCCTAATATTTGTGAGCCAGCAGGAAGGGCAGGTGCCCATATAGACTTCTCTAGGATAGCACTGGTTTGAATGTAAGACAGTACATTAAAACCCTTCAAGGACTTCTGAGAAGTCTAGGAATCCCCAGTGGGGATTGTCTGGTAAAAGGGATCTGGACTCGTGGGAACAGAGGTAATGGGACACTCTGATTTCAGACCCTTGGGCTCTCCAAGAAGCGAGTGAGAGCTTCGCTGTCTGACCTGTCAAGCCTTGAAGAGGTGGAGGGGATGAGTGTGCGCCAGCTGAAGGAAATCCTGGCTCGGAATTTTGTCAACTATTCTGGCTGTTGTGAAAAATGGGAACTGGTAGAGAAAGTTAACCGGTTATACAAAGAGAATGAAGAAAACCAAAAGTCATGTAGGTTTATTTTTTCTTTTTTTTCCCTATAGTATCTTTCCTTAGGCTTTAAAAAATGGGGTTGTGTCAGATTTAGTTTTGGGAAAACTATTTACTTTTTATTGAATCTGAATTAATTATATGAGCCTGTTTATAGAATTGTTAGTAAGCTCATCGTGTGATGTTGCTCTGAGACCACCCTTACCAAGTGTGTTCAAGAAATTATTTGTTGACTTGAAAGGTCCTTTCATCACTCTTGTCATCTTAGTGTTAATCTTAAATCCTGGCTGTGATATGGCATCCATTGACGTTTATGCTCAGAATAGGCAGGAAGTCTTTAGGCACATCTACTTCCAGGGCAGTGCCACAGTGGCAGGCTCAGGAACCAGTCCACAGAAGCTTTAGAGGTTGGAGGCCGCTGGCTGAGGAATGGCATCCTGGCAGTGTAAATCCCTGCACGGTGCTTGGTGGACATGCGCGGAAGCCCCACCCTCAAGTTTTTGGTGTAGGAAACCATGACATGTGGCTGAAGAGTCTTTTTTGGTTAACTGTTTAATTTAACCCTAGGTCAGTCTGTTTGGTGGACACGTAGTTTGTTTTGAGCACAGCTGGGACTTTCCTAGCTTGACTGTCTTGACGCCACTTATGCCAAGATTGACCCAAACAGTCTGTACTCATAACCTGCTGCTGGACTATTTCCTTTCTTGGGCCCATAAGTTGTAAAGAGTTGGAAGGAACCTTCCTACCCAGGAGAGGGGGCCAAGGCCCAGATTCCAATCTTACCTGAGCCCTCAGATGCCTGCTCATCTGCCATTTTACGCTATACATCTTCTCTGTAGGTCCACACCAGTCATGGACCATGAACTAAGACCCCACATTACAAGATCTCTTGACATTGCAGGCTGTGAAATTTATTTGTCTTAAATCAAAATATTTCAGTCCTTCAAGCTTGAATTCTGGTTCTGTTCTAACCATGTTTCCCATTCCTCGCCTCTCTGACCTGTAGAAAGGGAAGCCTCCAAACTTCTAGCTGTAGGGTCAAATCTCAGCTGAGGTTAACTTTTTAAAACTCATTCATTGCCTTTCTTACTCAGAGCCTGGATTTTCTCAAAACCTGAGTATGGGTCATGGAGCCAGAAAGGTCCATCTTGTTTTAGGTAGATGGACTCCCAAGAATAAAATGGCAAAAGTATTTCTAGGGTTGTGGCTCAGTGGTAGAGCACTTGCCTAACATGGGTGAGGCACAGGGTTTGATCCTCAGTACCACATAAAAAACAAGTAAAAATAAAAGTTAAATTCTAAAAAAATTTTTAAAAAGTATTTCTAAGGCCAAGACAGGAGATGTAGCTTACTGGTAAAGCATTCCTGGGTTTAATCCCCAATACTAAAAAGAAAATAAAGGGAAGTCCGGGGGAAAGAGGCTCTTTTTTTCTACTGAGATGAAATTTCAAAGTGGCCTGACTCCTAGTCAAGTGCATGGTGTTGCATATCTGTCATCTCAGCAACTGGGGAGGCTGAGGCAGGAGGACTGCGAGTTTCAGGCCAGCCTGAGGAACTTAGACCCTATTAAGTAAGATAAAGTATTAACAAATAAAAAGGGGGGCTGAGGAATATAGCTCAGTTGGTAGAGTGCTTGCCTTACATGCATAAGGCCCTAGCACCCCACCCACTAAAAAAATAATAAATAAAGGACTGGGGATGAAGCAGGTGGTAGAGTGCTTTGGGCTTAGTCGCCAGTACTACCAAAAAAGGGGGGAAAACCCATTGTGGCCTGACTCTGGTGGCCCACATATAGAAGGCCAGGCTGGGGTTTAAGTTTCTTTTTTCTAAGTATAGTCAATATGTCCTTATGAAAACACCTTAAATTACACCAAGATATAAAATAGAAATAAGTAGCTGACATTTGTTGTGCATCTTACCTGGCCCTAAACACAAAACCTTGAGATGTAGACACTGCGATTTCTAATGAAAAGAACCAAAGTACACAGAAGTCAGGGATGGTCTCTTGTACAGCACTGTGCTGGTATCGGGCCTGCGATGGTCACTCAGCAGGTGGGCAGTGCAGCAGGGCAGGAGGCCTGGTCCACATCTCCAGCTCTGTTGCCTTTCAGATGGTGAGCGGCTGCAGCTGCAGGACGAGGAAGACGACAGTCTGTGCCGCATCTGCATGGATGCTGTCATCGATTGTGTCCTACTGGAATGTGGGCACATGGTCACCTGCACCAAGTGCGGCAAGCGCATGAGTGAGTGTCCCATCTGCCGCCAGTACGTGGTGCGAGCTGTGCACGTGTTCAAGTCCTGAAACCAAGGTTCTCCCCAGTGGGACACGCACCCCCAGACTCCATCCCAAACATTTCAATGCACAGAAGGGACTGGAAACTTACTGTTCAAAGGCAGAAGCTATTTTTAAAAATTATTTTCACTACTTATTGGGGGCATAAAGTTTCATCCTAAGTTGAAGAAACATTGGTCCGCGCCATGAGCCTGCCTGCGATCACGAGCTTCCTAGGTTTTACGGGGTTCTGTCACATGTCCCTCGTGAGCGCTAGTTGTTGAAGTCAGACTGTTGACACGTGGGCATCAGCTCCTGCTCTCTGGTGAATACTTACCCCATTCTTGTTTCCCTTTGATCCTATGTTGGAAACTTCTGTTCTCTTTGGGTGAGGTGAGCTCACTGTCCACAGTGGCTCATGTGGAACGTGCTAAGCAGCGGCCCCTTTGAATGTTCAGTTTATTAGTCATGTATATTTTAAATGCTAATATTTGATGAATGTAAGTTTCCACATTATTGCCATTTCTGGGTTTAAACATAATTGGGAACAACTGACATTCTGGTCACCTGTCAGGGCCTTAGATGAAACATGTCCATTTTTGTTTAGGTGCATCTTTTTATGCTGTGCCTAGCTTCTTACATTAGGAGTGTGTGTGCTTGATTTTTTTCTTAATGTGTAATCAGTTTACACTGTTTTGTATAGTGAAGGTGTATTTTTAGTGCTACCTGCTAGCTAATTTCAACATTAAGAATAAAATTAGATTTAAAGGAAATGTTTTTGTTTACATCGTCTCAAGTCGGTTCCTGATTCATTTGCATACAGTCTGAATGGTATCTGCAACCTGGTCTAGCATCCTCTTCAGAATAAATGAGTGCACCTTCAAAGATGTCATAACAAATTGCAATGCTTATCTTTGCTGCTTACTTACCAGAAAGGTCAAGTACTGTTTAGCTGTTTGTTAAAATCGGGTGTTATGCTAGATGCTGTGTAGTTTCCAGCAGTTCTCAGTATCAGACTGGATAGATAGCGCCCGAGAAGTTAAAGGACTGTACAGAATCTCAGTTAAAATGTGGCTGTAGCTGGGTATGGTGGCACACACCTGTAATCCCAGCAGCTCAGGAGGCTGAGACAGGAGCAGCTCAGCGAGACACTGTCTAAATAAAATACAAAACAGGGCTGAAGATGTGGCCTAGTGGTTGAGTGCCCCTGAGTTCAATCCCTGGTACCCCCCCCCCCAAAAAAAAAAAGGTGGCTGTATCAGGATCTGGGGTGTTGTTCAGTGGTAGAGCACCCTGTAAGCATGCACAAGGCCTGGGCTCCATCTGATACTATGAGGGGGAAAAAAAGACGGTTATGTCAGAATAATTCGAACCTAGCTTGGATGTCAGTTTCTTTTAACCTTTTCAATACCACACAGCAAATAAGAAACTTCAGATAATTATGTTTCTTTCCTTAGGTCCGGTTTGAATCAGGGTGTGTTTTTGGTTGATCCCAGCTGTGGATTCTTCCTATTGGTAGGGGGCAGATGTTTTTAGAAATGGCCAACTTAAAAAATCTCCAGGTTTTTTTTTTTTTTTTTTTTTTTTTGACTATGAAGCTGGTAACTCATGCCCTCATGTACTGGGGAATCTACTAGTAGACCTGAAAATAGCTTTGAACTTAGGGCTGAAAGTTTGGCTAAGTGAAGAAAAACATGCCTTTCTGCCCTTTTTTCCCCCCTTATCAAGGCCCTGAGGGTATTTTCAAATGCTGAACCCAGGCTGGGCTGGCAGCTCCCAGCTTGAACGATCTATGTATGCTACAGCTTTGTTGCCCATTCCCTGCCACAGCTGCAGGGGCACTGGCACCTGGTCTACATTTCAAGAGTGAACTCTTGAAATTTAATATCATCCCCACCCCCCGGCCCTGCAAATCTCTAACTTGGTGGTGGGAAGCCTTTAAATTCAGGCCAGCAAATGATGGTACACAAATTCAGATTTAGTTACATGTTAGCTTAAAACATGCTTCTTATTCTTCACTTTTGGATTTATATAGTTGGACACGATACATCTGTTTTATTTATTTTTATGTGGTGCTGAGGATTGAACCCGGGCTCTGCATGTGCTAGGTGAGCGCTCTACCACTGAGCCATAACCCCAGCCCAAATGGTGGATTTATTATTATTATTTTTTTAAGGTAGTGCTGAGATCACTTGGTTTAGTGACAAACTGACAGAGATGTTTAGTGCAACAGGCTTGACAAAGAACAGACAGCCCTTTTGTATCTGTGGATTCAACTGAGGAGTAAAAATATTTGAAATATTATACTAAACATGTACAGATGTACAGACTACTTTTTCCTTGTCATTAGTTCCAAAACAATTAGTTGTTACACGTTAACAACTATTATGTAGCATTTACATTGCATTAGGTATTATAAGCCATCCCGAGTGACTTGGAATATATAGGAGGATGTGTGCAAGTTATGTGCACACGGTGCACCATTTAGTAAGGAACTTGAGCCACTGCAGACACCAAGGGATGGCTGCTAACTTGTGTGGCAGAAGGCCAGTCATTTCCCCTGCAAGTTGCATGTTTTAACTGGCATACCATGCATCTTTACGTTAATTCTTTGATTAGGTAATGTCACATGGATAAAATTCTGCAGGTCCACACTGGAATATAGTGAAGTGCCCTTATCCTCCTTTTTTTAAAAAAAATATTTTTTAGTTGTTGATGACCTCTATTTTATTTATTTTTATGTGATGCTGAGAATCAAACCTAGTGCCTCACGCATGCTAGGCAAGCTCGCTATCACTGAGCCACAACCCCATCCCCCTTATCCTTCACAGTGAAGAGGGTAGTCATTTGAAGCTCCACTGTACCTTCCTTCATCAGCATCAAGTTCCCTAGAGATAGGACCTCTCCCCTGAGGTGGGAAGCTATGCTTTAGTACAGGGAGTGCAGTCAAGCATGTGACTCTTTCACTATTTCATCTGCCCTGTGTGGGCCTACAGCTGATGGCAGCAGGTAGCTTAGGCTGGCTTCACCCTAAGTTTATTTTTTTTTTAAATGGAAAGATTTATTTTTAGAGAGAGAGAATTATTTATTTTTTAGTTTGCGGTGGACACAACATCTTTATTTGTATGTGGTGCTGAGGATTGAACCCAGGCCGCATGCACACCAGGCGAGCACGCTACCGCTTAAGCCACATCTCCAGCCCACCCTAAGCTTATTTTTAAAAGGTCTGTACAGAGACCTTGGATTTGCATTGGGGTGAATCTCACCAGGCTGTTTAGTACTCTTGTGGCAAGCTCACCTATGGCCTGTCTTGCATGCCTAGAATATGTCAGGACATTGCTGTGTGTCCCTATGATGGCATGGATCCCTAGCAAGTGGCAATCCTGCCACAGGCGCCTCTCGTAGACCTGTGTGCTTCGAGAGTCCTTATAGGAGAGGTACTGCCTTCTAACATGGAACTCTGCTATATTTTAAGCAGTCACAGCTGCAGCCCTGAGCCTCAATGTTGGCTGCTAACAAATGAATACAAGGACCTCTGAAAACCACTATTACTCTTAAAGCTATTTCCCAAGGAAGAGAATAACCCAAGTAGCAAGGTAACTATTATTTGCAAGTTCAGAGAACTAAGGCTACTAAGAAACAGAACCTGTGTCTCTCCATCATGAACCATCAGGACGAGCAAAGATAAATTACACTTTTATAAATAAACCAGAGTGTTTACCAATCTTAATTCTGTTAAGTGGACCACCGAGTTATAGGGTGCAATGGCTTCAGTGTCATTTTGCCACAATGGCATAATAAGGTAAAGGAGGGTAAATAAAAAATTGGACTGTTGCTGGGCATGGTGGCATACACCTGTGAGGCGTGAGGCAGGGGAGGCTGAGGCAAGAGGATAACAAGTTCAAGGCTACCCTGTCTCAAAAAGGGATGGGGACATAGCTCAGTGGTAAAGTACCCTGGGTCTCATCCCCAGTATTGCAAAACTGGACTATTAGCAGGAAGGGCTTGTCTAAGGGGGACAAGGTTTTATGTTCTTGACTATTGAGAAAAGAAGTTGGTTATCCTCCCCATCTTCAGATTCGCCACAGCAGTTATTTCTGTACATGATTATGAGGTTACAAGACCCTACTTAAAAAAAATTAAGTGATCTAAAATTATTTCTAAGAAGCCAAGTGTGGTGGTGCACACTTAAATCCTGGCAATTGGGAGGCTGAGGTAGGGGTATTACAAATTCAAGGCCAGCCTCAGCAACTTAGACCCTGTCTCAAAATGAAATATAAACATTGGGGCTCAGTGGTTAAGAAGCACTGGGTTCAATCCTTTACCAAAATTAAGAAAAAAAAACCCAAGTGTCCTCTCTAGCTACTTTGCAGGAGGGGAACCTCTCCTTGAGTTGTCTCCTGTGGGAGATTTTTTTTTTTTTAATATTTATTTTTAAGTTTTAGGTGGACACAATATCTTTATTTTACATTTATGTGGTGCTGAGGATCGAAACCAGTATCTCGTGCATACTAGGCGAGCTCTCTACCACTGAGCCACAACCCCCAACAAATCTTGGAAACTTCTAGGGATAGGTGATACCAAGCAGCCATGGAAGTTGTTGTACAGATATGGCAAGAGGCCTCCACACAGGTGAGCTGCCCTGCCCCTTAGGAAAAGTCTTTTCCTTAATTTTTATATTTGGCCATATTACTTTATAGTCCAGAAACAGCTGAAGGAAAAAAAAATATCATGTACTCTGAGGCTGCTATACTTTTCAAATTAAAGAGAAATTATATTGACCTACAGACCCTGGGCTTTCCAATTAAAACTCCTAGTCCTCTCCTCAAACAAAAACCCCCGAACACACAGATTTTTTTTTTTTTTTACAACTATTTATACAAATTCAACAAAGGTAAAATCGAGTCAGGGAAAGTCTAGGAAACACCACCATACGACAATGGCACTTCTGAATGCAGAACATTACAACTAGGAAACAGCCAGGTTACGAACCTAAATGAGAACTCAACTCACACTTCAAAGGAGAGGAAAAAAGGAAAAGAGGCTGTGTGGGCGCATTTATTCTACTTCTTGTCTCACGGTATAAATTAGATCTATGTAGAGTACAAGAGCTCATGCTGGAGCAAAACCCTCCTGAGTGCAAAGGCTGAAGTCTGATTTGTAAAATTTCAGGAAAAGGTGAATTCTCTACAGAGGAAACTGGGCAGAGTGTCTTACTTCGACTGTAATTTACATCTGTCCACATCATGCTCTTGTAACTTCTTGACATACCAAGCAGGCTCCACTTCCAGTTAAACATGCTTTTAAGTGGAAGGTCTTGGCCCACTCTGTCAGATCTGGGCACATTTGTAGATGAGTTCTTTGTGTTGATGAAGTACAGGTTAAGTTCTCTCCTACCTGAAGGAAACCAGGAAAGTTGGCAATCTCGAAACAATAAAAACACTGGTATGCATTCAAACCTTGCATAAATAACTTTTAAACAATTTGTACAAAAATAGTTCTGCATAATGTAAGATGTAACAAAACCAACCAAACAAAATGTGTCAAGACGGCAGCAGATGTGGTGTGTGGTCCACTTTATATTGACACCAAAAACCTCAGCATTTCAAGGAACAAGGTGTCCAAAACAAAAACACCACAGGGGGTGGGGTAGGGAGAACCCCTAAAGCTCATGCTTCAAAGAAAATTCCTCCAAAGCCCATCTTCCTGCAACGGGAATGTCTTCTTGTAAAGGCCGCTTAACTGTGGTCCAGAAAGCAGTGCAGTTACAACGCAGAAAGACCAGAGGGAAGAGTCTGGCTCACACATCCCCAAATGGGTGGCTTCTCCCTTGGCAAGACTTGCAAAATGGAATCATTCTATGGTCTGTTGTTCCAAGTTCCATGAGAAATAAAAGCCCTCGTGTTTTGTGAAGTCTTTCCCCTCCCTGGCTGCGCCCACCCCCACCTACCCCATATTTACATACTTGTCCTTGGACTAACTCAGTTTTTGCAGGAGTTTTTCTTCCACTTGCCCAAACTGGACACTCACAGACATTTCAGCTATGAACTGCTCACAGCCTTCCTTGGTGACTTGCTTGCAGTACCTCAGGTCAATATGACAGATATTTCCACAGCGTTTGAAGAAGGACAGGCACTGATCAGTGACCTTATGGCAGTCTACAGGGAAGACAAAATTATGTTAAAAAAGAAAATGTGAGGTGGGGGAAAAGGTGCATTGTACAAAGGCTGCTCCTGGCACTCTACAGTGGAACCAGGCACAGCTCTCTCACATGCAGCCTCTGATGCCCTAAAACAAAACGTATTTGCTTAAAATTTTTCTTCTTCAAATGGGCAATGGTTTCATCCACCAACTATAAAGGGTTCATTCGGACTGGGCTGGGGATGTAGAGCATTTGCCTAGAATGTACAAGGCCCTTAGGTTCCATCGCCAGTACCACTGGGAAAAACAAACAAACAAACAAAAAAAAAAAAACAGTATATCAAGTAAAAACCACTTAGACCACAGAGCTGCCTCTTCATGTACACTCAAGTAAATCTATCTATGCTGTCAAGAAGCTTTTTTCCATCTAATATACTGTTGAGTACTTTTCTATGTGCATTATTGTATACTCATCTGCCTGTTCCCTTTCAGATAATGCTCAGGGGGACATTGCTGGATCAGAGAGAATATTCTGTAAGGTCATCTTGGGATCCTCCTTTGCCTCCTGGTTCATTTCCCCTGTTTTTTTTTTTTTTTTTTTTTTAATTCTGAATGTCTACCTGTGAAGAAGGATATGCCCAATATGCTGGAAGGGGATGGAGAGGTTCTGTCCAGAGAATAAATCAGAATGTATAACCCTAAACCACATAAGGCACCCCCCTTCAGCTACATATGTCCATCAATTTATACTTTCTGTTTTCCTTGAAAACTGAATCCACAGTCTATTGCCTTAAATGTCAGTCAACATCTGAGATTCACCATATAGCAAAAGGAATGATTTCTTTTGGGGCAAATTAAATGGAGGAGATAATGATTCCTACCTTCCTCTAAATGGTGTCAAGCCAAGCTTTCAATTCTGCAAATACTTCAACAAAATTGATACAGGCACATTAAAATAAGTTGGAAACCATAAACAGAACATGGGGACAATGTGCTATCTTTTATACATATAAGCTGTCCTATAAAGAGAACATAGGGCAAATGATCCCTGGGATGCTGGGACATGTAAAGAGAACTCATAAAGGCAGTGGGAATTCATGAACGGGGAATAGGTGGTGCTGAGAGGCTGTCTACACCACCTGCAGAGACACTGACAATGAAAGCTGGGCAATTAGTGAAGGTGGGAGAACTGACAAGGACCCTGGCAAAAAGATATTTTCTCTAGGGCAATCCTTAATCTAACTAATCCTTCAAAAATGTTCCCCCAAGAGAGCCACATCCCCAGTCCTATTTTGTATTTTCTTTATAGACAGGGTCTCACAGAGTTGCTCAGCGCCTCACCTTTTGCTGAGGCTGGCTTTGAACTTGCGTTCCTCCTGCCTCAGCCTCCCCAGCCACTGGGATTACAGGTGCCCTGATCACTTTATAATCTTGTACAAAAGTCAAAGGAAGGATATTATATATGCTAACATATTATTCCTTCAGAAAAAGATGCCCTCAAAACAATACTTGATTCATTTTAAGTGTAAAGATAAGGATTTTGGCAGTGATAAAATATGCTTGTTTTTGCTACTCAAAATTTGACATGAGGCCCTATATTGAACAGGTCTTTTTCCCTGAGATCCAGTTATCCTTAGATGGCAAGAGTTGCTTACGGGTGTTCACCTAACCCGGACAATATGAGCAAACTCCATGGATGACCAGCTAACCAGGGGCTCTAGTGTCAGCTGGTAGGGTGTACCTGTCTGTGGAAGTCTGAGAAACGAATCTGGAGGAAGTCTAATACACAAAAAGAACCTCCCCACAAGAGTCCTTTCTATTCAGCTTTCTGAAGCCTTTGGGCTTCAGCTTCAGGGATTTTTTTTTTTAAAACCAAGGGGGCTGGGGTTGTGGTAGGGAGCTTGCCTCGCACGTGTGAGGCCCTGGGTTCGATCCTCAGCCCCACATAAAGATAAATATGTTGTGTCCATCTATAACTAAAAAATATTAAAAAAAAGAAAAAAAGGAAAAAAAAAAAAAACACCTCCCAAAAAAACCCAAGAGCCAAGGAGCATGCTGGCTGCCATATGATCCTCCAAGGAGGTGTCAAGGCTGTCTGCAGGAGCCAGATAAGCACAACAGAAAGGTAAGCATCAAGACACAACTGAGGCCACTCCACAGCTGCAGGACTTGTCCAGCAGGCCTCTCTAGCTAGGGGACCATTGGTGATGGCAGTTGGGGTGGGGGTACAACTGGACAGCTCTGGAAGGACCCCCTTCAGGAGGAAGGTGGGTGAGTCTGGAAGATTCTCAGGAGGACTCAAGGGAGGGGTCTAAAAAAGGTGCCTGAGTGTGTCAACAATGGCAGCTAGGAGAAGGGACTGCCTACAGCAGGTGGGGCCATTCTCTGGTGTAATGGACTCTGACCAGCAGTTCCAAGGCTGGGAACTCACCCTAAAGAACACAGTATACGATTATCACCTGTGATGTTTTCTTGTCAAAAATATCCACATTGAATTTAAGCAAGTCTACAGTTCACAGGAAAAATGAAAACAAAACAAGCTAAATACCACAAAGTCAACAAATTCTGAATGTGCACATTCTTCTAAGAAAACCGTAGAAAGACTAGGGGGACTGTAAGGCTTTTTAATTTTTTTTTTGATGGCTTTTATTCATTTATTTATATGCAGTGCTGAGAATCAAACCCAGTACCTTGCACATGTGAGGTAAGTGCTCTACCACTGAGCCACAACCCCAACCCTTCAAAAGTAGTTTTTTTAAAAAAATATTTTTAGTTGTTGTAGATGAACACAATACCTTTGTTTTATTTTTATGTGGTGCTGAAGATTGAACCCAGTGCCTCACCTGTGCTAGGCAAGCACTCTACCACTGAGCCACAACCCCAGCCCTAAGCAGCTGTTTTGATAATGATTTTTTTAAAAAATATTTATTTTTTAGTTTTTTAGGCGGACACAATATTTTTTTTAATTTAATTTTTAATTTTTTTTTCAGACACAATATATTTTTTCATTTTTTTTTTTTTTTTTTTTTTTTTTTTTTTAAAGAGAGAGTGAGAGAGATAGAGGTAGAGAGAGAGAGAATTTTTTAATATTTATTTTTTAGTATTTGGCGGACACAACATCTTTGTTTGTATGTGGTGCTGAGGATCGAACCCGGGCCGCACGCATGCCAGGCGAGCGCGCTACCGCTTGAGCCACATCCCCAGCCCATTTTTTCATTTTTATGTGGTGCTGAGAATCAAATCCAGGGCCTCACACATGCTAGGCGAGCACGCTACCACTTGAGCCACATCCCCAGCCCAGATAATGATTTTTTTTTTTTTAAAAGGCTGGAGATAGAACCCAGGGTGTCATGCATGCTGGCAAGTGTTATCACTGAGCCAGACCCCCACCCCACGTTCCTTATCTAAGGATAGCTAACTGAAAACAGGAAGAGGCCTGTTGAATATGGGGGGCCCTTCACCATGAATAGTGGAAAACAAAAATATATGGAAATAAGCATATTTTATCAAATAGGCAAAATCCCTCTCCTATTTACACTTTTCTTCATTTGACTTGCAGGGTCAGCCATCTTGGTATGTTTGAGGGATTAATTAGAAGAGTAAGCAATGCCTTTAAAAAAGTTAGAGGTTACTTGAAGAATATTTTTGGTGCATCTCCTTTTTGACAGTTTTCCCGTCTTCAGTCTCACTGAAGAAAAGGCTACATTTGGTGATTTTTAATCTTTTTAGGTGTGGGACTATTGTTGTAGTCTTTAATCTTAGCAAATATACACAGAAGTATTTAAAGATGTTTAGGGGTGAAATGATGTTTGTAAACCTTCAAACAACTAAAAAGAAAAAAATATGTAGAAAAAGCACATGTGACACAATATCTACAACTGCTGCATCTAGCTGGAAGGAAATGTTTCAACTGTACCATTTTCCAGTTTTCCTGTATGTTTGGACGTGTTCAAAATACAGAACTGGTGGTGTGAGGAACTCTATGGATAGGTGAAGAAAGATGTTTTTCCTCAACTTTTTTAATGGTGAAAAGTAGAAGAGTCCAATGAAAGTAAGCTGAAATTAAGAGATACAAACCTCCAGTAGTACAGTCTATAATAAAGAAGTGTTCCTACATGATAACAAAATTCTAGACAAAACATTAAGTGTAAAAAGTAATAAATAAAAATGATTTGTTTGCAGATGACATGATCTTACACAAAGAAAAGAAAACTAATGATTCTACCCAAGAGGTGTGGGGGAGAGATCTTTTTTTTTTTTTTTTTCTAATAATCTAAAATTCAACAAAGTTGCAGGATACAAAAACCACACAAAAACTAACACCAATGAACAATTATGAAAGGAAATTAAGAAAACAAACATTCACAATAGCATCAAAAAGAAGCAAAAAGGGGCTGGGGATGTGGCTCATGTGGTAGCGCACTTGCCTAGCATGCGTGAGGCACTGGGTTCAATTCTCAGCACCACATAAAAACAAAGATATTGTATCTACCTAAAACTAAAAAATAAATATTAAAAAAAAGAAGCAAAACTTAGAAATAAATTTAAACAAGGAAGTGAAAGACTTGTACATTGAAAACCATAGAGCAGTGCTGAAATTAAAGATACATAAATAAAAATATTCCATCTTCATGGACTGTTCATGGATTAGAAGACTTAATACTGTGAAGATATCAGAGAGATCTATAAATGCAATGAAATTGCTATAAAATCCCCAATGTGTTTTTTGCAGAAATAGAAAAATCCATCCCCAAATTGATGTGCAATGCAATGGACTTGAAATTGCCCAAAACTCTTGAAAAAACTAGTTTAGGAGACTCTTGCTCCCATTTTGAAACTTAGCTGCAAAGCTAAAGCAATCAAAACACTTGGTACTGGTATAAGGATACCATAATCGAGAACTCAAAAACAAACTCTTGACTATAGAGTCAAATGATTTTTGACAAGGGTGTCAACACCGTTCAACGAGGGAACAGACAGTCTTTCCAATAAATGATACTAAGAAAACTGAATATCCATATGCAAAAGCATGAAGCTAGACTCTACCATACACCATATACAAAAATTTAACTCAAAATGACCTAAACATAAAACGTAAAGCTGTAAAACTCTTCTAAAACAGAAAATCTTCATAAGATTTGGAAAAAGATTTGGGAAAAGGAGGAAAAATTGGCCTTCATCAAAATTTAAAACTATTCTATGTAAATGACACTGTTATAAGAGTGACAAAACCACCCAAAGAATGGGAGGAAATATTTGCAAATCATTACCATCTGATAAGAGGTTAATATTCAGAATACATAAAGAACTAGACAACCTGATTAAAAAAAATGAACCCTGAAAGCATTATACCAAGTGAAATAAACCAGTCAGCCATAAGGACTGGATGATTCCACTTCTATGGGGTATGTATAGGAGTGGAATGGAGTGTTTAGGGGGACTGGGGTTCTGCCCAATGGGTATGCTTTTTAAAAAAAATTTTATGTTTTTTTTTTCTTGTAGTTGGACAGCATGCCTTTATTTTATTTGTTCTTATTTCTATGTGGTGCTGAGGATTGAACCCAGTGCCTTACATGTGCTAGGCAAGCGTTCTGCCACTGAGCTACAAACCCAGCCCGAGTATAGCCTTTTTGACTGGGTGATGAAAAATTCTGAAAATGGATCGTGGTGATGGTTAAAAAACTGAGTGTATTTCATGTCACTGAACTGTATACCTAAACACGGTTAAAAGGATCAATTTATTTACATATTACAATAAAATTATTTTGAAAGCTAGCTACAATACATAAAAACTTAGCAGGTTTAAAAAAGCTGAACCCTACTCCTAATCCTAAACTTATTCCTAAATGTCTGAGAAGAAAGCAGGGAAACACCTCCAAGGGATTTGGTACTAATTTCTTAGAAAGCACTGTTTTAACAGAGTCAACACATATATCAGAAGAGGAGGTAAACATGGGATTAGAAGCAGGATGACTGGCTGAGAATCTGTTTAAGGAACAATAAGATGCCCAGATTTCCTCCTCAGCAGAAGACAGGCCACCATGCACAGATATAGGGCTACCTACTCAAAAATGGGAACTAAGCAAAAATTTACCTAGTCACTGGTGATAACCCCAACCTCCTTCCCCATGCCCAGCCCAAGAACACTGGTAGCTCAGCCTACACCCTCCAGTTTGGAGATCAAGGAGTCTCTGGTGACCCTGATCAACTTTAGAGGAAGACAAAATCTGGTGTCTGGGTTTCTACAAAGAAACCACCAATGAAGATGACCCTTTAACGGCTGTCCATAGCAGGTGAACTCCAATCATCTGCCCAGAGTGTCCGGTCACCCTTGACTAGACAAGCAACTGAGTGTCAACATTCAATCTCAGGACAGCCTCTTATGAATATAGCTTGTGAAATTAAAAATATGGCAACCATTTGTGTTTGATCAATATAAACAGCAATTTCACATGGCTCAATCTACATGACAGTAGAAATGGAAAACTCACTGTATAAATTGTATGACAAAAGAGAAGAAAACTGCTAGAAAACAGCAAGTAGATACAGAGGTGGAAAATAAGAAGAAAAATGGATGATATCAGGAGTAGGACAGAAAGAAACAGAAGGGGAAAACAATAAGAAGAAATTCAAGAAATTTTTCTAGAATTGAAGAACATGTTTCTAGATCGAAAGGGCTCATGAGTGTTTAGTGTGATAAATCAGACTCAAGCCAAGGCTCATCATCAAAAATTATGAGACAAAGACAACTTCTATAATCTTCCCATGAGAGAAAAGAGATTCACTGATGGATGAAGAACCAAATAGTTTTGGATCAGGCATGTGGATCTGGAGGACAGTAGAACAATGCTGCTCACTCGCTGAAGCAACATGGCTCCCAAGCTAGAGCTCTAGACCCAGCTGAATTACCAACAAAATGTAAGGTCTAATAAGGACATGTGTCCTCTACCCAATGAGAGTCAACCACAAAAGATGATATGGGATCAAGGAAGGAGGGCGTCCAACAAAGGCAGAAACCCGAGGGGATGATGGTAAAAGACCCAGGATGACAGCGGTACAGCAGAGGTAGCCAGTCCCGGTGGAAGCAGGAATCCAAACAGGAAAAAAGAAAGGGAGGATAAAATGGTGGCCAGAGGGGAGGTCTGGTTGTGGGATTGATGAGTTTGTGTGGGGTAAAAGATTATTCTGTTCTGTTGTTTAGTTTCCTTAGAAACCAACCAAATAAAAATGAAACATTTAACTCTAGGAAACCCAAAAACAATTGATACAGGAAAGGAAGTTTACTCACAATCCACTATGTGGCTCAACAGTGACCAATACTCGCATGGTCATAATAAATAATAGTAACTTAACCAAAAACTAGAAAGAAAAGAAAAAAAGGGTGGTGGTGGGGTGCCAAGAGGCTGCAACAGCAGTAAATCTTCATGTTCTGTAATAGCCAGTTAATAAAGACTAATGTCTAAATGGAAATGGCAGTAGAGGGGCTCACTCTGGAATATGGGGGTAAATACTGGAATAGAGAACTCGAGCTAAAGGACTGCCTCACAGGGAAAATGGGAGGTGGGGCAGAAGCAAGGAACTGCCTTGAACATTCAAAAAAAAACTTCCAGGTTGAAATATGGACCAGGTGACAGCAGCTAGAATTTCAGTGTCATTTATCATGAGATCAGATCCTCCAACCATATTTGTGGATCATGAACATGTCAACTGCAATCTATTTTGTGGCAGAGACTTATTTTATAATTAACTAGTTATAATGGTGGGAGAGGGGGGAAAAAAACACCAGAAGAGACTACAGAAATATACCTTAATATACTTCTTGGCTAATAACAAGAATGCAGAGCTCCATCTGTGTGTAGTGAGATGAAAAGGTGACTTCAATGTATTATGGTGGAAAGATAAAATACCCAGAGATGATTTATACACACATACCCCCACCCCCTATACTTCCTGAACTACACTATTTAAGGGAGGGAATTTAGATGGAGATCTTTGCTACACACCCACAGTAACTAAGCCAGAACACGAAGAGTCACATCAAGCACTGAGAACAAGACACCTTCTAGCCCTTCTCCAAAAGGCAGGTCCAACACCAGTCCAGGCCAATGAATGGAGCTTCAATCCGGTGCCTCTAAGGAGAAACCTCTTTTCAGCACAGCTCTTTTCTTTGCCTCTAGGAGTGGGACAATCCCTGTCACCAAAATTTCATGAGGAAAGGAATGGTATCCTAGGTACAGTGGGATCTCACCCGGCAGGCAGGCCTGGTGTGCAGCATGGATGGTAGGGGGTGTTCATCTGGCATGAACCGGGATGTAAAGACAGACAAACAGTGAACCCTGAAGAAGCAAAACCCCAAATGGAGTCATGTCAAAATGGAACTTAAATGAAGTGAGGGTATGCTTTAATATTTAATAATTTCACGGGAGAAAAAAAATAAAGATTTAAGTTTCTATTTCTTTCTTTTTCTTTAAATCTCATCCAAATGTGACACCCCAACCCAAGCCATCCTAAGCTATCAAACCAACACTGCATTAGATGAGTAAGGACAGGCAGCACCACCTCTTGGCTACTGCACCATACATACAGCCAAGCTCCCAGTCCTTCAGAACCAACTCCCGCCCCATTAGTAAGTGAAGGAGTGAGGATTCCATGGTGTGACAGTCAGACAAGGAACAACAATGGAACTAACTGAAGTTTTTTTTTTCTCTCCAACAACAGGCCCTAGATAGCAGGGCCATGAGGAGTACACACAACAACAACAAAGGCAGAGACTGTTCCACTGCTTCCGCCTGGCCACTGGTCTCTAGATAGAAGCCCTGTCACTGTGGTCCTTGCCCCATGCCTACTGCTGTCCCCCTACCCTGGCTGGAAGGCATCAACTCAGTTGTACCACCTTCAGGAAGTTATCCCTAGCCTGTATGTTGGGTTAGAAGCCACTGCCATATGCTCTTACTGCTATCAGTACTATTTTTTTTGGTAGCTGTTACTGCAATTCCAGCAGGGACTTACGTATGAGTCTCCCCTAGACCAGGCTGTCTCACTCCCTGGTGTGCCCTAGCACCTAACGCTGATAAGAGTGGGCACACCATTTTCAACAAACATGAAACTCCCACTGTGTTCTGTAGACTTGGGAGGAGGGGAAACCTCACCTGACAGGTTGATCTCGGTTAGAGAGTCTCGGGTGGTGGTGCCAACAGCGGTAAGCAAGTTGATGGACTGGTCGGTGACGTGGTTACAATAACTAAGGTGGAGTTTGGAGAGCAGGGGCATGTGGCGGATGATGAGCCGCAGGGAGACATCTGTGATGTCCAGCCCTGCCAGGCGCAGCTCCACGATGTTCCGGAGCTTACTCCGATTGTCCATCTGACCTGGTGGGGCAGGAAGGAAAGGGGCAACCTGTCAACCTGACAGGAGATCAGGTCATACTGACATGACTTTAAAAGGCCTACAGACAGATATAACAGTTAAATTTCATTTAGCCACAAAGTGCTTCCTCCTAAAACCAGAATTCTAACATTTAAAAGTCAGGAGTCTACATAAAGAGTCAATTTCCAGATTAAAGAGTTAATTTCCAGATTTTCTAGAAAAAGCAGAAGATCTAGAAACCTGAACCAACATTTCACTCAGCGGCAATCAGCCAAATGAAACAAGGTGGCCCAGCATCGCTGCCCCCAGTACCTTGGGCACCATGTAAGCTGTGAGAGTCAATGATCCAGACAGTGAACCGGGCCGGGAGTGGGCTGTGCTACAAGCCCTTCTCCAACCACTTGACCCGGAGGCTCAAAGAGGTCAAGCCAGCAAGAGGCAAGTTAATATGGAAGTAGCCAGAGTGTGCTGAGCCCCAGGTGCAGAGTCTTGGCACATGCAAAGGAGCCTCTGCCTCCTCCTGGATCCCCTCTGTGCCCAATGCTGACTGAGAACACAGCAGCAGGGACTCTTCCCTGTGTCCTCTAGAGAAGGGCTGACGCTAGAGGAGGCTTCAGGACACATCACAGGATCCAATGGCACAAGTCACCCCATCCACAGGACCCCCTGGCACAGTTCTGGACTGGAACTTACCTGGCCTGTTATCTGTAGGTGGAGACAGGAGATCCCGCATCTGGGCATCCTTTAGTCCTTCTACCCACTGGACATCCAGAGTCCGGAGCAATGGACAACTGGAGCTACAGAGGGCTGAGACTGCGATCCACGAGCAGCCCGACAGCACCAAGTCTCGGAGCCCTGGAGGGACAGGAAAGGAGTCATGGGCCAGGTGATACACTCCAGCACCCCTGGCTTCCCACTCGGGTCCCTGGCCCAGGGCTCACCAGGCAACCGGTTGATGAGCCAGCTCAGCTGCTTCTTGGAGATATTGGTCCAGCTGAGGTCGAGGGAGACAGGCTGTCGCCGGATGATGCCGCTCAGCATCAGGGGCGTGATGGACTTGCAGTGGTTCAAGTCGATGCGGGTCCATAACCGCTTATCGCAGCACCTGAGGGCCCAGCAGGAAGGATAGCATCAGAGATGGGGGCTCATTTGGGGAGCCCCTGCATGGCCACCAAACCCAAACAGGAATCTCTTCTCTGCACCTTTCTGTTTAGCACTCATTTTGTCCACACGTGGACACCTCTGCTCTGATGGCCACAGGCCGTCAGCGGAAGTAGCTGGCATCCACTCTCCATCAAGTATTTCCTGCAGGCCTTACTACATTCTCTAAACCACCCTGTGAAGCAGGTATCATGCCTATTCATACATGAGGGTGAGAACTTGGCCAAGGCTACAAAGTTGATAAATGTCAAGCTGGGTCTAAAGCTGGTACTGGCACCCCTTGCTCTTAACCTAGGCTAACTCTAGGGACAAGGACTCCACTTGGTCTTTACTGAGCTGCAGAGAGTTAAATCAGGAAAGAACAGGCTGACAGGAAGTCTTTGGTGGACAACAATTAAGCTCTATCAGGGCTCGGCAGGAGAGAGTACCATAAGTGACTAGAGTGGGATACACGCCCAAACGGGCCATTCCAGGCTGAGCCAGCCTTAACCAAGAGCCTAACACAGGGAAGCCCCTCACCAGCGGTTCCAGGTCCTGCAGACCCGCATGCAGACACACAGGTCTTGGTGGCTGAGGTAGCTGAAGACGGCCATCCACACCTCCCTGTGCATGACATGGGCTGCCCCATCATCCAGGGGCAGCGAGTCGGGTGGGGGGCTGATAGGGGGTGGCCGGATCACGTGGCGCTCCATCTGGATGCACTTGGGAGGGGACACGGAGGGTGGGGGCCGGGAGATGACTCGGGGTGGGCTGCGCAGGCTGGGCCCCAATGGGTGCCTCAATTCCCGTGGGGTGCCATTGAGCCCCTTGCTGAAGCGGTGGGGGCGCTCACAGAGGCCCAGGGGCCGCTTGGGTTCCTCGTTCTCACTCTCAGGTTCTGACTTGATGGGCTGGTGGTTCTCATGGGCCAGGCTGCTCTCTGTCTTTTGGATCTCATGGTTGAGCTCCTTGCTCAGCTCCTTGCTCAGCTCCTTGTTGGGAAGCCGCCGTTTCCGGCGCATCTTCACCTTTTTCTTCTCCTCTGGACCCTCAGCCCCCTCATTGCTAGGCCCAGCCGTGGGCGAGCTGGAGCGTGAGTGGTCACTCTCCCTGGTCTTGGGGGGCGCCTCAGGCAGATCATCCTCTGGTTCCTGCTTGAAGCGCCGGAGGGGCTTATTGGCCATCCGGTCTTCTGAGTTTTTCCAGGATCTCCGCTACGGAAGAGAGGAGCCAAGGGCCAGTGGTCAACCCATACGGTTCTGTGTGGTGCCCACCCCAGAAACTCCCAACCCTTTGCCACGGGACTCATGAACCACCCAGGTGCTGCCTATACCTCTGACAGCTGGGAATGGTCTGGGAGCACAGGGAGGAAGGGGAGATGGTACCTTTTTCCTGAAAAGTTTATCTTCTTTGCCAGGTTTTAGCTGTCATGAGGAAGAAAGGATGCAGTTTGCTCATGGGTTAGAGGAAGCCAGTCCCCTCTACATCCAGCCCCACCACAAGCCCAGACTCCAGAGCAGGGGCTGGAGGGATGCCTTTCCCACAAATGCCATTTCCTCCTTCCCATCTGACTTTCAGTGGACCTTGCCTGCTGCTTTCAAGGAGGAAGCTGGAAGTAGAGTAAGGCCAGCTGTTCCCACCCAGCTGACATCCCAACCCAGAGAGACCCAGAGAATGTAGTCACCCATCACGTTAGCCTCGGCTCCAGGAGCGCAGGCCTACGAATATCTCACAGTGGGCTGGAGCCAGGAGGTTCCATGTGCCACCTTGTGGCCAGTGAAGGCAAGGCCAGTGGGTGGAGCAGGGCCACCAGGATCCTCAGAGGTTCCGGAGATTTCAGGGTTTCCTGGGCAGCCGCGCCTTCAGCTTTGATCCCAACCAACCAAGGCTCTCCTCAGAGAGCTCCCATAGACCTTGGGGCTAGACCTTGGGACCAAGGGACAAGGTGGGGGACAGCCCAGGACTCGCAAGTCCCCATGGCCTGGGGTGGGGAGGGGCATGGGAGCACCTGCTGCTGGAAGTAAGTGAGACTGGATCTCCACCAAGGGCTGAGGCTGCTGCCTAGAGGGGGCCTCGGCGAGAGGTGAGAGGAGGAACCGGGGGACGTTTGAAGCGTCGAGGCCTAAAGGGGGTGGGAAGAGGAGTGACTTGCTGTTTTTTTTCTCCCTTCTTTTGGGATGGGCTCTCAGGACTTGGGTGACCTGCTCAGGGCAACAAGAGGCCAGGATCCCGAGTTCTACCCATTGCCCATCCCTTCCCCCACCCTCCACCCTGCACCCAGGACAGCCAGGCCAACCCTCCACTGCCCAGGGCCTGCCCATTCGTACTCGTTTGCGTCCACTCAGCTCTTGGGGCTTCTCATATTTCCTCTTCCTCCTTAGGTGTACATCATCAGATTTTCGGCGCAGGATGCCATCAGGGGGCACTTTCTTGGGGTGCTCGTCTGACCTACGCCGGGGAGCCTCTTCACACTCACTCCTCCGCTTGACAGGCTCTGGTCCTTCCTTGTTGTCCCGGTTCATCTTCTGCTCCTTGAGCAGCGAGCCAGGCAGGTTGGAGGCATATTTAAAGCCAGGGCCACGCTTTTGCTTGTAGGCCAAAAAGAGAGAAGAAACAACCCCACTGTATATCTTTGGACTTGCTCTTCCTCCTCCCCAGGCTGCCGCACCCCACCTGCCTGACCACCCAGGGACAGGCTGGTCCTGACAAGGCCCAGCCTGGCCCCGCCCGCCCGCCCCTCTCCGAAGATCACGACTTGGTGCCCGCACTCACTTTCCCGGTCTTGCCGGCATGGTTACACTTGGGACACTCCCAGCAGTTTGGAAGTTCGTCGTTGACCACACCCTCTGACTCCTTAATCTGGAAGGACAGGCCAGGACTCAGCAGGCAGAGAAGGTTGCTGAGATGGGCCCTTGAGACACAGGGTCGCTGTGTCTTCAACCCCTCCCAAAAGCCATGTTCGTCCCATTTATATAGCCAAAAGAAAATACAGCGGTACAGAGCTGGTTGAGATGGGTAGTTCTAGGTTCAGATGCTCACCCTTCTGCCTCTGAATGGCTCAGCCATCCTGAGCCAAGCACCTCATTTCTGTGGCCCAGTTCCCTGGACCATGAGATGGAGTTTGAGTGCCCTTCTCACTGGGATTTGAGAAAATTCAATGAGGGTAGAACAGCTCAGGGTCTGATACACGGGACTTTGTGCAGGTTGAATCCTGTGTATGAGCTGAGGCAGAAGAGAAATGACCAGGCATTTAACAGGAAGGGCTAACTTCCAAAGCCTTAGAACTCACAGCACCCCTGCCAAGAGGGGTATGTGTGACAGAAGGAGAGAAAGGCAAGTGAGGTAGGAGACTGACACAGAGCTGAAGGACTGTCCTCGGCAGACCCCGCCCCCCACGGGTTCTGACACTGTATTGTCTTGGCACAGAGGGCACAGCCCAGAGTGGGCTCTTCCTTTCCAAGACAGAACCTGCTTCCTGAATCAGGCAGGCACAGAGGTCACCCAGAAGGTAGTCCTGCCCTCGACACACCAAGGGAACCGGTTCCTGGTGCAGAGGCACAAAAAGGCAGCCATCTGTCATTCAGGATCCACCCTCCCTGGCCCAGGCATAGTTCTCCCAAAAGCCAGGAGCCAGGACTCCAGAGAGCAGCCACCTCAGGTCTCTGCCTCTGGCCAAGGTGCAAACAAGTAGCCCATGTCTTCTGTCTGCTAAAATGCTGGGATCCCTCTGTGAGTCTGAGGTACTAGAAGGTGTTGTGGTGATGGGTTCTTTCCCCTAGGAAACTGCTCCTGACTCTTCTTGCCCTGGGCTCATCACTTGATACAGAATCCCCCAGATTCAGGGTCCTCTAGGAATTCAACATGCTACCTGCATCCCACCATGTCACCAGTGCTCTCCAGGAAGGAAATCTAATCCCACCCCACCATGCCATCACCACCAGACACCCCAGGGTGGGGTGAGGAGATGCATGCCCAGTGCCCACAGGGTCACTTACCTTAAGGCATCCAGGGTGGATGATCTCATTGCAGATGGAGCACTCCATGAGCATGAGGTTAAACTTGCTCTCTTCCTCTTCCACTGTGTCCTCCTTCCCCGCCTCGCCACACACAAGACACACAGCAGTGTGGGGCAGCACTGGCTGAGGAGCCGGGAGACACACAAGTCAGCAGGAAGGGAAGAAAGACCCTCCTGAGGACCAAGTCAAGGGCACTGAGCTACTCTCCTGTGCCTGCCAGGAGACTCCAGAAAGCTGGCCCAGGCACATTCATTCATCCATACACTTACCAGATTGTTACCTCTACATGCCAGTCACTCTGTATGAGCTAGGAACATAGCAATGAACAAGACAGATCAATCTCTCTGCCATCCTGAGCTCTCAGGTAAGGAAGGCCCACAGAATGAAGAATAATGAAGTACGTTAGATGGAACAAGAAATACCAGGGAAAACCAGGGGAAAAATAGAAGGGGGACTGATTTTAAATGTGGAAGTCTCCCATTTGAAAAAGACTGAAGGAGGTGGGGTGTGAGCCTAGTCCAGATGCCCAGAGGGCTGAGGCTTGCCTCTCCAGCAGGTATCAGAGCTCAGTCCACAGTATGGAGGTCCTTAAGACCTTTACAGGGAAAGGCTGTGAGGTCAAAATTGTCTTTAGAACAAAAGTTAAAAATACTTTTCCCTCTGCAATGTGTTGATTTTTGCACGGATGGTGCAAAAGCACTGGTGGATGAAGCTGCTGGCTCCTCAGCACCAGCAGGCAGGCAGGTCCAGCTGTCCCAGGAGTTGCTGAGGACTTGGGGCCAAGTGCACAACGAAAAGATCACCAGCTCCATTTAGGACTTTCTGTGATTTTATGAAAACTTCAACCCTTGAGCATACACCTTCTCACACAGGAAGGACACACACAGCACTTCTGCACACTGAGGGACCTTACTGAAGGACATATTCATGTGGCTTATCTTGTGAGCTCAACTGACCACTTTCTCCAAAGAACGTCATTTTTTTTACTTGAAATAAAGACTGAATAAACCACTGGATACTGGTGCATTTTCTTGAAGACAAAAGAAGTAAAAATCTGTTGTTTCCAGGGGAGGAGGAGGGAAAAAAAAATGCAGCACTTGGTACAAACAACAAAATTCAAGTATTTGAGGGAAAATGAGACGTTTGGAAAACTTACATGAGCCATCGTGAACTGGAAGGCTTCCCAACACTGAAAGGCTTTTCTGATGAGATTAGGAGTGGTATTACCAAATGTCACACATCTATATATCTATAGATAAATAATATAATGGCATGTGCCAATATTTTGGGAAATCTGCCTCAGTGAATCAATATTTTCCAAGTGACCAATGAATAATGTTACAACATACTGCATGAGCAAGATGAGCTACTCAAAGGGCAAGAATAATGACTTGTAATGTAACAGTATGAAAAGTCCTTGATACAGTTTCAGACTCCACATTGCAACTAACCTTTAAGTAACTGCCACCCATTCTGGTGGAGTATAAGAGTATCCATGATTATGAAATGAAGGCTTTTAATATACCCCTCCCTTATCCAACTACTTATTTGTATAAAGCTGGATTTCCCTCATTCTCCTTCTAAAATAACATATCCCAACAGATGAAATATACAAGCAAACATGAAAATCCAGGTACTTTCTAATGAACTACACTTAAAAGATTAATAAACAAGGTCTTCTTCCTCTAGTTATTTTAGTTTTAGAAAATGTAATTGGTCTTCAAAAAATGTTATTTTGGTTAATATATAATGGGTTTTTATTTTTAAAATGAACTTAAAACATTTTTAAAGTTTTCTGTTTTAATTTTATTATTTTTTTACGTAACACGAGATTTATCTTTATTTTTAATCCAAGAAACAAGTTCCTTCAAAATTGTGACTCCTCAAAAGTTTCTATTCAAGAAGTGGAAAATGTTACCCATCTATGACAGACTCATTTGAAGTGAAGGCTTGAAATGATTTCCACCAAGTCACAGGCTGAGGTAAAGAGTTCCATGCCTACCACCTCTTAGGCTAGCCCCACAGTAGCTCCCAAACCTGTAGTGATTTTTTTTCCCTTTTTTTTTTTTTTGGGGGGGGGGGTATTTTTAGGTACACATGACAGCACAGTGTATTTTGACATATTAAACATACACGGAGTATAACATCTAATTAGGATCCCATTCTTGTGTTTATACATGATGTGCAGCTTCACTAGTTGTATATTCATGAATCAGTTTTAATTTTTAAAATAGCAAATGTCAGTAAGTAAATACTTCACATGAAAACAAGAGCTCTTTGGGGTCTTTGTAATTTTTAAGTCCACAAAGTTTGAGCGCTATGTACCCCTCCCTAAGGAGAGGGGCCAGCTTAGACCTACTCTCCTTTATGTTCTTGCCTGGCCTCCTACACCCATTAGTACCTGCAATGTAGCAAAACCACACAGTTTTTATTAAAGTACTTCAAATAAGCTTGGATATACTCCACCAATAAGTGTGCTGGGGAAGAACCCAGCCAGGGCCTTATGTAGGATAGGCAAGCGCTCTACCACTGAGTCACACCCCCCCAAAATGTCTACAAAATGGCATGAATACTTGAACTCAAATAGAACACAAAAGACAAGAGCATCATCAATTGTTCAACAAATACTTAGGGAACACCTGCTACAGCCTGATCCAAGGTACCCAGGGGCACAAGAACTAGCAGACAGCTGCTCCCCTGCAGACACCTGGGAATACAAAGACATAACTCACTGAAATTCAAAGGAACATGGAAAAGTTATATTCAAGGGCTACCTGAAGCAGCAGAGGCTTACTTCTGCAGGACAAGAAAGGCAGAAGGAACCTCAAGGTGAACAAGGCCAGAGAAGGCTGTGCAAGAAAACTTCAGCATGGGGAGCAGGTCAGAAAATAGACCCCCATAGAAATTGTAGTTAGGGTGAAGAACACCTATGATGTAAGAAGAGAGTCTGAGACAGGGGACTGACTTGAGATGGGTGAGAGGAAGCACCAAAGGGGAAACTACTGTAGAAATTCATAAGGGAGCCCACCCGAGGCAGGGAGAGCAAGGCCCTGAAGGAAGCCACTGGGGACAGGGAACCAAAGCAGGGAGGCTGGCACATCAAGAGAGAAGGACCACAGAAGGGGTCGGAGGCAGATAGGTCACATGTGGGCAAAACATGGGATACTGAAAGGCAGAAAGACTGAAAGAACTATCAGAAGGGCTTGAGAAGCCAGAAGTAGCCGAACAACAGACAAGCAGAGTCGGGGTACTCTCTACCAACATGATCAAACAGGCCGGGCCTCCTGGCTGCAAAGATAAGGTGGCATACAGCACATGTCTCCTGTGACAACTAGGTCCAGGGCAAGGGGAAGAGAAAAGATAATCATGTCTTCACTGCCAATAGGCTAAGTTTTAGGTGATACCGTCCTCAAAGCTAACAGTCTCTATAGGCAAACCCCTTAAAATCCTGACAGAATCCAATGGGTCACCTGAACCCTCTTCTCCAGAAAAATGCACATATACACAGACAAAAATCTGTATTTAATCTAGGGGATTAATACTCAGAATAAATAAAAAACTTGTATAGCTCATCAACAGAATACCAAAAAATCCTACTAAAAAAGGGGCAAAGGACTTTAAATAGCATTTCTCCAAAGAGGATACACAAACAGCCAAGAAGTACATGAAAAGGTTCAAGGGGTGGCACACACCTGTAACCCAAGCTATCAGAGGCTGAGGCATGAGAATCACAAGCTGGAGGCTAGTCTGGGCAACTCAGCAAGACCCTGTCTCAAAATAAAAACTGAAAGGGTTGGGATATAGTGCTTGCCTAGGATGTACGAGGCCCTGAGTTCAATCTCCTATGATCCCTCTCCCCTACCAAAATTCTGTCAGAAGTTACAACAGAGAAGAACCTTGAGGATATTATACTAAGTGAAACAGGCCAGCCACAAAAGACAAACACTGCATGGTCCCACTAAAATCAGGCATCTAGATTAGTTAAACTCTTAGCATCTGAAAATAGAATTGTGGTTGCTGGGGGCTATGCAGAGGGAAAAGGGCAGTAGTTGTTCAATGGCTGCAGGGTTTTGGTTTTAAAAGATGAAAATGGTCTATCCAGGCATGGCGGTGCACATCTATAATCCCAGCAACTCAGAAGGCTGAGCCAGGAGGATCTAAGTTGAGGCAACTGGGCAACTTAGCTGGAGATGTAGCTCTGGAAAAGTATCCCTGGGTTCAATCCCAGTATCCCCCCCCCAAAAAAAAAAGTTTTAGAGATCAGCTACACAATAATGTGCATATATGGTTACCGCCACCTTGTACTTAGACATGTTAAGGTGGTAAATCTTATGATATATGTTTTTTGACCACAAAAACACAAGCAGAGTATGTATGCAGGGTGAAGGGAAAATGCGGCTGGGTTTGGAGGGACATCAGTACTTAGGGAGAAAGGGCTCATCCTTTGTCAGGCTGGGCCTACAGATGAGCTCACCAAGGCTAAGGAATCCTGCCTCTCCAGCTGAGCTGGCTTTTCAGGGAGCAGGGGGATGATCACTCCCACAGGGAGGACCACTGGGCCTCAGGTAGCAGTGCTCCAGGGAAGGCAAAGTGTGTGGGCATGCAGAGGAGGGAATTGAGAGCAAATCCCTTGCCAGTCCACACCAAGGTGCCAAAGGCTGCATCCACCGCCTGATCCAGGTAAGGCCAGTAGCCCTGGGCCACACTGGAAGAAGTGGCAAGGCAGTCTGTAGGGTCCTAGCTCCGGGGGCTCCATATCACTCCTCTTTGGGACAACTCCCTCAGGAGGGACACTAACCTTCTACAAAGACTTCTGTCTCTGAGGGAAGGATAGGAAGAAGAACAGGCCCAGAACCTTTAAGAACTGGACCATAAATGTTGGCTACAGGGTCAGAGATAGGACAAGACAACTTCAATGGGAGGGACTTTGAGGTTCCTGGCTACCTCAGAAAGGGAGGAGTTACAAGATCACCAGACTATGAAGACACAAGAGCCTGACGTGTGTTCAGCAATGGGGGGTCTGAAAGGAGCCCTGGCTGGAGCCCCCTCCTGCCCACCGAAAACACCTCTTGGATGGACAGGCCAATGAGCAGAGGGTCATAAAGGGCTGAGGCAGCGGGGCAACCCAGGACCCGCAGCTAAGAGCGGCACTCACCGCGATGCACTGCCGCATGATGCAGCTCTGCTTCATCCGCCCTGGGCCCCCGAACTTCTTCATGTCCTTGCAGAAGTGGCACTCTCCGCACTCGGTCCGCAGGCAGGCCTCGCACTTGCGGCATCGCGTCCGGCGCCTGCGAGCTCCTGCTGTGGTCCTGTTGGCGGCCAATTTCACCGCGGAGGCTGGGCCCAGCTTGCCCTTGGGCCGACCCACCGCCCGGTTCTGCAGGAGAACAGACAGGATGGATGAAATGGGAGGCTACCAGGGTGGCCGGTCCCCTAGGAGAGAGTATGAGCTGTATCTCCCAGAAAGAGATGCTGAAGCCCTAAGCCCTGGGGACCTCAGAACGTGATCTTATTTAGAGAAAGGGGCCCTAGAGAGGTAATTAGGCTCAAGAAAATCATGAAGGTGAATCCTAACCCTGTATGACTGGTGTCCTTCTGAAAAGGGAGAAATCTGGACACAGGCAGACACACCCGGTGGGAACACATGTGAAGACATAAGGAGAAGTGGCCATGTGACTGCAGTCTTGTCTATAAGCCAAGAGACACCAAGTATTGCGGGCCAAAACCAGAAGTTGGAGAAATAAGGAAGGTTCCTTCACTAGAGCCTTTAGAGCAAGCTTGTCCCTGCCAGCCAATACCTTGAATTCAGGCTTCTGGCCTCCAGAACTGAGAGCTTAGGTCTGTTAGGACAGCTCTAGGAAACTTACAGGGACCCCACACACACACACCTCTGCTGGCAGCGCACTCTGCCTCAAGACCTTTCAGGTCCCACACTCAGGACAGGGCCCCACACACCCCTCTAGCTTCCCCCTATCTGCAGCCAGGCTGTGCTTCCCCAGAAAGGCTGCATGGGGCCAGAAGTTGTCCTCTGTTCCCTGTGCCAGGAACACCAGTCCCCTCCCCATAGTACCTGGCTAATCTACACATTCTGCAGGACCAGCTCATACACTACTTTCTTCTGGAAGCCCCCCCCCCCCGCCCACCTGTGCTGCATTCGGTGCCCCTGCCATGGGCCCTGTCACAGCACTCATGACTGGTAAGCATCTGCCTCCAGCTGGTCTTCCCTCTGAGGTGGGGCACGGGAGGGAGCTCAAACACTGCTATATTTCTATGAGACGGCTTGTCACCCCAACCCCTGGGAAAACAGGAACCTGAAGGGCCCCTAAGTACTGAGACCCTCCCTAAATGGGAAAATAGAACAGGTCACAGAAAATGGAGTTAAATTCTTAACAATGAAAGAGAGCTGCAGTTCCTGCCTCCAGTTCCCACATGCTGACCCCAGCCCCCGAGCCTCCTGCAAACTCAGGAAGCATGGTGGAACTGCTAGGACACTATCCACCAAGGATATGAGGTGGGAGAGTTAGTCCTGTCTGAAGCATCCTTCTCAAGAACACGACTTTGCTGGGACACAGTCCTCTGTATGGCACACGCTGCACTTACATCGAAACCCTCTAATTGGCATCCAATGCTAAAGCCTGTTTTAGTCAACTAACCCCCCCCTCTTCAGTATGGTGCTATCCTTTCAACTTTCATTGTTTATCATACTTGGAGGGGGAACCCCAATCCTTCTGTTAAAACTCCAGAGAGTTGTAACTGTACCCTGTACCAGTGAAAAGGGTCTTCCTTCCAGAAACCCCGTCCCATAACACAAACAAATCCCCAGAGTCAAAATAAATCCCCTGGGGTCAGAGGCAATGCCATTAGTATGAAAGGTGCAACGAGAGGCACAGACAATATGGCTACTCCAAAGCAGAAGCCCCAGGAGTCTCCCCCTCTCCATGCAGCCAACCATGCTCTCTTTTCCCCCTAACAAAGCCCTGTTATCAACTCAGTCCTCAAAACATTGAAACCTAGGAAATGACCTTAGCTTTTTGAGAGCCTCAAATAGGTAGAGCACATAGAAGGTAGAGCACAGTCCAGATCTAAGGACAAAACCTGAAGGAAAGGGCTCAAACTTAGAACTTTAGAGCAGGAGAAGGCAAAGACTAGCTGCCTTGGTGAAAAACTGAAGAAATTCCAGAAGTCCAAAGGAATGTCTGGTATCAAGGGCCAGGGAGGCCAAAGGGGCTCACCTTCCCTTGCTTCCCAAAGCACATTCCCATCCAAAGAAGAACATTTCCAACCTATGGAAAACAAATCTGCCTGGACTTCACTGGCAGCTGAGACATTCTGGAAAACGACAAAGCAGATGACAGGCAATGCTTTGAAAGAAATCCTGTTTCCAAAGGTCGCTACTGTGCCCGCCAAATCCCAAGCTAGAAAAGCTTCCTCTGTGGTCACCAGTTGTCAGGAAGAAACTGAGCAATGGTGAAGTATAGGAGCTAATAAAAACCAATGAAAGGGGCCAGGGTTGTAGCTCAGTGGTAGAGCACTTGCCTAGCACGAGTGAGGCACGGGATTGATTCCCCGGCACCACATAAAAATATACAAAACAAAAATGGAAAAAAATCAACAGTGAGAAAGCCATTAGAGGGTCTCCATTAAAAAGTCCATTAAGAACCATCCAGGAAATCTGGAGAAGGTAGAATAATAGATAATAGTGACACCCAAAGAATAAAAAGGAAGGTGAATTGGTCAAAGTCATCTCATTCTGTCAAGAAGCTTTTATCCTAATAACTTTGGTGTGCTACCCAAAATTTCAAACACCTAACTTGGCCCAGTAAAAGAAAGGATGGCAACCAGACATTCACTCACAAACATGCAGCTCAACCCAAGGCCACTTTCCCAACTCAAAAATTGGAAAATTCTGGGCTAGGGATATAGCTCAGTTGGTAGAGTGCTTGCCTTACATGCACAAGGCCCTGGGTTCGATCCCCAGCACCACACACACACACACACACACACAAAAAAAAAAAAAAAAAAGGAAAATTCTGGAACATACACTTTAGTATTCCAACATCATTTCTCTCCATGGCAACTCAAAAGCATCTCCATTAAAGGAAAAATTATCAAGGTCATTCACTCATTCATTCACTCATTCCATCAAAACTTGAGTCCCTCCCAGATAGTGTCCTCTAGAAAATTTATGGGTATAACCTCCTCAATCCCTCATCTCAGAAGTACTGTGCCATGGTACACACCTGTAATCCCAGTGACTCAGGATGCTAAGGCAAGAGAATCGGAAGGTCAAAGCCCTCCTCAGCAACTTAGTGAGACTGTCTCAAAATAAAAAGATAAAAAGGTTTGGGGATGTGGCTCAGTGTTGGAGCACACACGAAGCATTGGAAAGGTTCTGGGTTCGATTCCCTGAACACATAAAAATACATACACAAAAGGAGAAAAGCAGAGGACTCAAACTTCCCGATTTCACAATTTATTACAAAGGTCCAGTAAACCAGACAGTAAGACACAAATACAAACAGATTGATGGAGATAGATCCGAGTCCAGAAATATACTCACTTTTTTGACCAACTGATTTTCAATAAGGGATGGGTGCCAAAATAATTCAGTGGGGGAAAGAATGACCTTTTCAACATATGGTGCTGAGATAAATGGACATCCACATGCAAAAGAATGAAGGTAGAACCCTACCTCACACCATGTACAAAAATTACCTAAAAAATGGATCAAAGCCAGACATGGTAGCACATGCCTGTAATCCCAGTGGCTCAGGAGACTGAGACAGGAGGATCATGAGTTCAAAGCCAGCCTCAGCAAAAATGAGGTGCCAAGAAACTCAGTGAGACCCTGTATCAAAATAGATAAAAATCTTCATGACTTCAAATTGTCTTGGATACGACACCAAAAGCACCAGTAGCAAAAAAAAAAAAAAAAAAAAAGTAAATTAGATTTTACCAAAGGACACTACATGATTAAAGAGCCCAACAAATGGGAGAACATATTTGCAAATCATCTATCTAATAAAGGGCTTGAATCCAGAATATAAAAAGAACTCTAACAACTCAGCAATAAAAAGACAAAAATGCCAACTTAAAAATGGGCCAAGGATTCAAATAGCTATTTCTCCCAAAGATATACAAACAGCCAATAAGTACATGAAAAGACACTTAACACCACTAGCCAATAGAGTGTGCAATCTGCACTTGGGATTCATTCATTAATCCCCTCATTCACACATTCACCCACCTACCCACCCACTCAAATGCTTTCTGGCTGTGAATTATATGCCAGATTCAATGCTAAATGCTGGGACTACAGAGATGAGTAAAATGCGTTCCCTACTCTTAAAGGCCTGAAAGACACGTGACCACATAAATACAATGCAGTGTGACTATGAGATTACAAGCTAATGCTGATTGAAGTACTAGTCAGTCTTCAATATTCGTATCAACAACCAATGAGGTAGGAATTACTATTATCTCCATTTATAAATGAGGAAACTGAGGCATCTGCCCAATGTCACACTGCCAATAAATGAAGAAGTTGAAATATGAGCCCAGGCAGATATGAGATATGGAGGTAGATATGACCCCAGCTCAGAGGGAAGGCAGGTTGGGAAAAGTACCCCAGACCACAGGAGTTGGTGATTAGGTAGACCTCAGAGGGAGAACAGGCCAAGGCTGGGGGTGGGGTTAGAATGGATATTCTGGTCAGAGGGAAGAGTAAGACAGAGATGTGAAACTACATGACACAGTCAAGGAACTGCATACAGCTCAACAGAGCTGCTGGAAAACAGCTCTGAGGCAGCAGGAACCTAACCTGCAGGGCCTCATATGCCACACTAGGGAAATGCACCCTGTACAACTATGTGACAAGGCCTAATGCACAAGAGCAATAGGACTGTGTTCTGGCAAGCAGTGTGGGAAATGTATATTTTTTGGGTAGTGAACGAAAGGCAGATCAGCTGAAGATTATGAAGGTATGAACAGAAGCAACAGACAGGGCGACAGGGGAGCATGATTCAGGAGACATCTTAGGGCTCAGTGGCAGAGCGCTTGCCAAGCTTCTGCAAGGCCCTGAGTTCAACCCCCAACACCATAAAAACAAAACAAACAAACAGGAAATATTTTAAAGACGACCTAGTTTTAGACTCAAGTAACTTGAGGGAATGTGGGAATGCAGACAAGATAAATCTTGGAAGACTGAGATTTTTAGCTGCAGGAGCATGGGGGCTCAGGAAAGGAGGGAAACAGTGACTCTGGAGTGGACCTGTGGACTCTAAAGGACACAAGGGACACCCAAGGAGGGTGGGGAGCCAAGCTAAGATACACATCTGGGAATCAACATCACATAGGTGGTTAGACTCATGAGGCTGT